TGAGGTTGAGTTATGTTTCCCTGCTGCACCTCAACACACAGCAGAGCACCTTAAATAGAAAGTAAGAGAACAACCCACAGGAGAAAACAGGTCTGACCTTCCTCCAGTGCGGCAGTCTTGTCTTGGTCTCCTATTTCTTAGCAACAGATTCTAATCAGAGGGGTAGCCAGGAGGAACCTGCTCTGTTAAAAGGAAGTTTTGGCCTGTTTTCTGAAAGGCTTCTGCTTTATACCCTAAGGAAAGAGCTCTGGGTTCCCAGGCACCTGTAGGGTAGGCACTATGGAATCTGATGTTAAATGTCTTAAATCACATATTTATGAATCATATATTTAAGAATTTATGAATTTAAGAAGCAAAGCAAACTCTTCCTTCTAAGGTAAAAGCTTAGGGAAAACCAGGATATAAATGATTCCCTGTGTGTATTTTTATATGTATATATACACACATATATATGTATAAAGATCATACAAAGCTAGGTCATCTTTGATTTCTAGCAGTTACAGATCTCTATTAGATGTTTTAAGGGACCTGTTTCCAGATAATTTTCATCATAGAATCATAGAATGCCGAAGGTTGGAAGGGACCTCAGAGGTCATCGAGTCCAACCCCCCTGCACATGCAGGGTCACCTAGAGCACGTGGCACAGGGCTGCATCCAAGCGGGTTTTAAAGATCTCCAAAGAAGGAGACTCCACAACCTCTCTGGGCAGCCTGTTCCAGTGCTTTGTCACCCTCACAGTGAAGAAATGCTTCCTTAAGTTCCTGTGGAACTTCYGATGCTTCAGTTTGAAGCCATTTCCTCTAGTCCTATCMCTGGCCACCAYTGAAAAGAGGCCGCYCCCCTCCTCCTCACTGCCTCCCTTGAGGTATTTATACACGCTGATCAGGTCCCCCCTCAGCCTCCTCTTCTCCAGGCTGAACAGGCCCAGCTCTCTCAGCCTTTGCTCATAGGGCAGATGTTCCAGGCCYCTGATCATCCTGGTAGCCCTGCGCTGGACTCTCTCCAGCAGCTCCACATCCCTCTTGTACTGGGGAGCCCAGAACTGGACGCAGTACTCCGGATGTGGCCTCACCAGGGCTGAGTAGAGGGGGATGATCACTTCCCTCGACCTGCTGGAGACGCTTTTCTTAATGCACCCCAGGATCCCSTTGGCCTTCTTGGCCACCAGGGCACACYGAATGAGTTATTTTCCCATGATCCCACCCGTGACGTGTTGGGATTACTTGATACGGAATTTGGGATCCCTGTCACACAGTCATCTCCTATTCGAATAGCCCATAACCATTACATAGTTGCCTTTCAAAAAAATCAGATTTTCCTTGATGTCTGCTTGGGGGTTTTCAGCACTTATGACAGCTTCGTAAGCTGTCTTCTATATTTGGTAAGTATTTATGAATTCAGTTAATGTTGAGTTGTATTTTAATATGGGACTTAAGACACAAGTGGGCTTAAGACACCTACCTCTGACAAATAAAAAAAATGTCAGTGTCCACAATCCTTGCTCTGCTGCTGTCTGACCTGAAAGCATGTAAAAGCCATAAGCAGCAGAACATTTTCAAGTTCCTCACATGCACTAAATCTCACTGTGGAAAGGCTCTTATTGATTTTACTCTTGACAWGGAAAAGCCACTTTTTGCTTATGTTTTATTTGCTCCTTGTTGGGATGTGAAAGTGCGCACTCCTTTCTCTCAAGAGCGTGCTGTTTGCATATGCCTTGTATTACCTGCCCAACWCACAGCTAGAGGAATGTTGGTATCTGACCAGGAACAAAAAGCTAAAAGCAGTTATGAGTCAAACCTTCTTAACAGGCGTGTGCCTGATGGAATCTTGCTCTCCTGTGATGGCTTATGCATCTTATGTTTTATAAGCTACAGATATAAAAAGAAGGACCTGAGGACACTACCCAGACAGCTTCTAACCTTTATCTAAGACAGCCATGTTCCGCTACTGAGTGTTACTACTAAAGGATATTAACACTGTAAGACAGTAACAATATCAGTCTCTCAGTTCTGATTACCTGGCTAGAGCAGCTTTAAGTCTTCACTTCCCATAGCTGCCCTCCCTCCCTGCAATTCTGCAGCAGAGACAACTGCTAGGTCCTCTTTGTTGCTTCTGCTTCAGCAGAAATTTGTAGCATTTGCATAAACAAGTGCAGGTAACTGTTTTAGACCTGAGAACACTCCATGCAAAGACATCAAAAAAGATTTCTTCAAACCCAGAACATATTGTGGCAGACTCTGAATTCAAAATTTTTGAGCAGCACCATCAGTAAACACCTGGTGTTGCTCAGACCCTTTCCTACCAGCTACTGATAACAGCAGCCCTCTCAGCACTGCCTGCGACTGCGTGTGAATGCAGGGAGAGGCTACAGGAGCTGTATTTATCATGCAAGTAACGTGCCTTTTTCACTCTAATCTGTTGTAATGTTGGGATGGTATCTTCTCTGCTCACTGAGTGGTCCAGATACTCATTCAAAATGATCTGCAGAATAGTTTGGAAATCCTTCCACTATTTCTTAAGATGTGGACATGGATTACTTTAAACAACACAGGAACTGAATCCATATCTCGAAAACCCTGTTTGAATACACTGACCATTTGGGCAAGTGGGGAACAAAAAAAAAACCTGTTTGTCTTAACTTTACGCAATAGAGTTGTGTACCTCTCTTATCCTTTGCCTCCAAACAGTCCAAACTTGCCCCCTCTTAAAACAAACAAACAAAAAATCAACAAATCAACAGCAGATAAATTAAACTATTTTCCTTTTTCACACAACTCGTGAAATCCTTGATCAGCTTCATGCACTGAACCTCTAGGAAACCTTCCCAGGAACCTTCTAGAGAACCTTTAGGGAACAGAACCTTTAGGGTGACAGAGCAGTGGAACAGGCTGCCCAGGGAGGTTGTGGAGTCTCCTACTCTGGAGGTCTTCAAAACCCGCCTGGATGCCACCCTGTGCCACATGCTSTAGGTGTGCCTGCTTGAGCAGGAAGGTTGGACTAGATGATCTSTAGAGGTCCCTTCCAACCTTGAATATTCTGTGATTCTGTAACCTAGGTTCTCTAGGAAGAACAGTCTTTCCTTCAGTGGGTATCTACTATCATAGCACATACACACCATATGGGAAAACGTCAAGAGTTTTGTTTCCTGCTCTCTTCATATCTGCCTTTTTAACTCTAAAAAGTGAGCTTTCGTGGCAACTTGGTGTGTATCATTCTCTGATTCTTTGTGAGAGTTGTTGCTCCTTGTTGCTCTTCAGAGTTGGAGCCTGTGGATCTACTGTAGATTTCATTCAACAGAGTTGGAAGAATAAATTGCATAGTATCCATTTATTCTTTTCATGGACCAGTACTGAAAGAGGAATGGGACATGACTTGCTTGGATTTTGTAGAAGGTAGATGACAACTGAGAAACAGATCCTGGTTTCTACTCCTGACTCTGTTCATTTGTTCCAGTTTCAGTTGTTTTAGATCTATGTATTGACCCTGTTCTCACGGATGGAGCTTAGTGAGCTCTATCAACTTCCCCTTCCCTCTCTGGCAATACTTCCTTTTCCATTCCTAATGGATCTCTCTCCTTCCCCATTCCCTTCTGCTGTCTGCTCAGTTCATTGCTATTCCCTCTTCATTCCTCCTGCAGTCCCAATACTTGCTCTCCTCTATGTCACTCACTGAGTTTCAATCTCAGGCCTAGATCAGCCTCCTATCAGTTTTTCTTTATATTCTTTCCATCCCTCTGTTTCTTTCTTCATTTTTTTTCCTTCATCCCACTTCAGCTTTAATCCCCAGTGCAATGAACAAGCTACACCTATGCAAGTTAACTCCCACAGCTGCCTATGCTCTCAAAACATTCTTCAGGCACAGCTGTGGAGTCAGCACAGGTCAAGGACTATCCCTAGGAGACAGTTTGGATGTGGCAAAGGAGAAAGGAGACTTAGTCCTATGTAACATCTGTTACCTTCAGGTCCAGAGCACAGATCCTGGACTATAAAGCTATATAGTGAGCTTTATCCATGGCTCAACTTCACAGAAAGCCCAAGAGATCTCCTTCTCAACACGAAAACTGGTGCAATACAGGAAAACTAAGAGATGACAAGTACAGCGTTACCTCTGCAGCTCTGAGGCGGAAGATGACAAATGGTAATTGTACATATATAGAAGGGTTTTTAAAAGAAGATGGCTCATTAAGGAGAGAGCTACTGGAGAATTTACTTTATCTGCTAAGTTTTAGAAAGACGGTCTASAAAACACATGATTTAAAAATGATTACACTAGCACCTCATTTCCCAGCTTTGGCACCCTGCTCAAAGCATATAGGCTAAAGGAGTTGGTCATTAGTTGTTTTACTTATCAGTGGTAACATAATGCATCACCTAAGCCTCATCATTTGAAAAAAACAGTGAACTATTTCAGGCAAAATGCTGAAATTCAGTTTTAAAGTAAAACATCAAAAAAGTTTAAGGGAACTACTGACTGGCAACGTAACTGAAGGCACAGCTATCAACGTCGAAGGCTGATCAGACCAATTCACTTTACCAGAACTGAGCAGCTGATACTTTATTCCAGCAACAGCAGGAGTCATGTGACTGATTCTGCAAAATCCGTGGAACAGGCAGAATATCAAAGAGAAGGAAGCCTGCAAAATAAACTGAATGCCTTTTTTGAGAATTTATTCCAACACTTCAATTTAGAGAAAACTGAGGCAACTTTAATAAGAGTAAAACCTAAATTGAGTAATACCATTGGCAAAAGGAAGAGACATTACCAATTAAAAATATGCACAGGTAAAACTGTATCCACTTCATGCTTCAAACACGTTCAAATTTGTACATGCTTCCAAAAGATATAGTTGATTGGCAGCCCACAACTATATAAATTTGAAAGCATTATTTAAAGTTGTATTCTAATTGGGTATGACACTGCTGAGAAAAGATCTTTTTCCCCCCTCTCTGATCTCATTTGAAGCAYAACAACTTCAAATTGGCATTGCTAATGCACAGGCCCCCAATGTACACTGAGTCTCATTTTTGCATGCTCTGAATTACTTTTCCATGCCCTTTTTACTACAGATTTTGAGATGCCAAGGCCTCCTWGCCTTGAACATACAGTATTCATTAGGATGTAAGAAACAGATCTATTTATAAAAGACAACATTTTAAAATGAAATGTGCTTTCTCTTGGAACTTCCACAGTCAGTGGAGACAATCTAAAGTTTGATCTCAGACAAACTATTTCGGCTTCAGACAAGAACATTTGGAATGTCAAGAGACCACTGAAAGTTCTTAGAACAGTCTTATGAGCATTATTTTTATAATAATGTAAAACCCATTAGTATTTCCCATAACATTGAATCTAAATATGTAACAGCATGAAGCATGATTGATCATTACAACTTGTAATATGGCTGTAAATTTCCATATACTACAGAAACAAATGGTTGTGGCCATTTACAACAGACAGAATATTGCACCCTGTAGAATATACAGTGCTTCTTTTCAACATGTACAAATTTTACCAGCAAGAATTCTGAACATATGATGAGAGAAAAGCAGATGTATTTATTTATGTGAGTGAATTTGTGTAAGATCCCCTGATTACCAAATAAAAGCCTTCTGAGAAAGGCTTTCTCTTTCCTAAACAAGTTCCCCACTAACAGTCTTATAACACATATGCATGTTGCAGGAATGAACRTACAGCAGGAGCAATGAAGAATTACCTCAGCTTTCATCACCATTTTGCTTCATTGAAATTGTTCTCATGTTCCATTAAGTATAATGATACATTTGGAGAATGCAAATAACCTAATTATATTTTCTTGTTTCAAGCTTCCAGGCACCGGTCATATATCGCAGTCGTATAAAAAGAAGATCCCTGCCCATCTGCAGCCAGCTCCAAAAGGGAACCAGCTTAGAACCTGTGATTAATGAAGAAGAAAATCAGAAAGACATTGTTAGAAAAAATGAGCACTGGCAAGCCATACATTTAACTAGTGCTGAACCTCTGYATTCTCAGCACGTTCAGCTCAGGCTCTAATTTTAATAAAAASTTATATAGCAAAAATTACTGCCTTATAGTAATTACATCATAGAAGGAACAGGAGATTCTAAATTGGAAGCTGCACAGTAACTCAGCACATGCCACAAGATGTTTATAGTACAAGGCCTTCTGTACAAGGTTTTGTTCAGGTAAATAAGAACCTGAACAGTTCTGAGTGACTTGGCAGACTTATAGCAACAGTATGAATGTACCAATCGTCAGGTAATTTAAGGAACCCAGGCTATTAAACTAATTTCTTCTTCATTTCTGCTAGCATTCATCCAGGTGCAAAACACATGTGGGACTGCACTGACAGCAAGCATTCTCTTCCCAGTAAAGTTGGCTGAKGATATTACCTACTTGCTTGCTTGCTCCTGTTCTTCCCATTCTTCATCACTATCACTGTTCACTGTTGCCATTTATTATGCCTTTATTTGTTTAAGGGTCATGTTTTAAGAAAAAATCCAGGCTAAAGAAAATAAGTGGAAAAAAAAAAAAACAGCACTTCATAGGAGGGGATAAATGAGCTAAATAAATGAGCAGGCAAGTGCCTCTTCAGCTAGTTTTACTACTAAGAGATAGTTGCCTCCAGCTGCCCATCAACACAACCCCTGAACACCTAAAAGTACAACGTTTCCTGCATACAGGTCTCCTACAATCACAGTATTATTCTTAAGGCATCACAGCAAGTGAATGTRCCAAGTACTGCCTTGCCCTAGCAGTGCACTTACCTACATTTGTCTCCAGTGGGAAGGCAGCTTCTCTCCCTCASTCCTCCTCCTGGGCCTACAGTCCCATGCCTTGCCCAGAAAGCTGGCAAGGACTCAAAACTGGGCAGTCATATGAATGGAAGAAAGGAGTGTGGACAAAATCTGACCCACTCTGGGAACAGGTATGTCTATTTTATTCTGGATTAACATTTAAGAGATTTTATAAAACATATTAATTACCTTCAATTTCAGTCCAGTTGACAGCAACTTCTGCTATAGGTATTTTCAAGCGCTGAGCTATATAAAGAAGTTCCACATCAAATGCCCTAAGTAGAACAAGAAGTAACAAATATGGTGATATTTATTTTCAGAAGACAGACAGTAGCACTGTTAATTAAACCTCTAGCCTGATAATAATTGGTGTGAGATATGAGGATGATACCAATGTTCTAAAGATCAGATGCACAGAAATGGGAAATCAGCCACATGACTGAATGACTCAGAAAAGAAGCAACATACAACAATACTTCTCTGCATCCATATATTTTTAAACCATATATTATGCAGCACCTAGACCACAGCTCACCTCACATTTCATCACAACCATGATTTAAACATTCTTAGACCAAGGCAGTCTAAYTTGCAACATCAATCTACATCTCTACCACCTTCATCAAAGGGGACTTCCTACTGTGGTTTTAGGCAGATTTGATGCTTTCTCCCTTTTTTTTTTTAAACTCCCTCTAAGTCAAGAATAAAGGCAGCAGTGCAGACCTGACCTGAGAAGGTACCGTGCAGCAAGAGAGCCTGAACCGCAGTTGTAGTTTAGCTGTTGATTATTTCACGTATTAGAGAGAGAAGACCCAAATCTCTCTCCTCAAAGCTAATGCTGTAACTGGGCTTCACACTCACATCTTCTATCACTTCCCGGTGAGTTTTGAAGATTCTGACACACAGCTAAACTTCACTGGGAAGTTAAAGGACTTCCTTCATCCCCATGCATATGGCACCCTCCAAGGAAGCAGGGAATGTGACTTTGAATTTTCCTATGATTAAGAAGGGTCAGACTACAGACCTTTCATTTTACAGTTAAAGCATTAGTTCTGCATGTGTCCGAGCACATCCAGAGACTAGTTGCCATTGCARGAAGTATATTGTAATACTGACGAAACCTAAGCAAAACCATCCTGACACCTTGTAATAACAACAAAGAGGAAATTAAACAGAGCTAATGTGGGGACCTGTGGATCCCCACAGCTAAGAGCACTGCAAAAAACATCTCCCTTTGGAAAACAAAAGAAATGAATGTTTATATGTGTAATCAATACTTGACACATATTAATTCTTTCAGTATATGCTCAATAAGCCTTCTGGACCTGAGGCACTAAGCCTTTCATGTTAGAGAAGTGCTTGGCAAGCACAGCTCACATTTCTCATGCAGAAATCAGGAGGCAAAATCACCAGCAGCTACTACTGACGTGGGGAAAGCAAATCACAATTATGAAGTTTTTGTTAGAAGTTTTTAAAAATTATTGCTATGTCTTTATTCCCCCTACCTTTATAGTCCTCAAYTGTCAACAAGAGTGTTTTGTTTCTTAACTGATTGCTCATCACTAKAACTTTGGGTTCGCGAAAAGACTTCTGCCACTGGAGAAAATACAGGCTAACACTATCCCCTCACACTTCAACTGCTGCTTGAATTCAAGGCATTAGTAACCTCTGACAAAACTATGGAACAGAAAGGTGAAGAGGAACCTTCTAATGAAATGATACCCAGGCCAGCAGCAACCAGAACACTTACTCTACGTGCATATTAAAGCAAAATTATTAATGTCACCCAGAGTGACAGCACGAAGATGCAAAAGMAATTTAAACAAAGGTTAGCTATATAAACTACACACTTGTTTGGTATAGAAAATCTAGAGCCTCTAAGTCTGTATGTGATTTAGATTAGGACACAGGCCTTTTAATTGCCACAAAACAGTTAGTCATGTTTTTTCCCCTCAGTGAACTGAATCTGCTCCAAGTGCTCTTGCCCTTTCACTTTTCTTTTTTAAAATAATATTCAACCCTCATTTGTTAATTATGCCATGGCCTCTTCTACAGAAATTGTACTGTTTGTTTTTTTGCTGACATTTTACATTTGTAAGCCAAAAAAACATGTGTACACCTTTGAATGTCTATGAGTCATGTGTATTAGAGTAAATCTAATTCTGTAATACTACTTAACTGACTAAAAATCTTAAGAGACACAGAATATTTAATTGTCTGATGAATTATGCTGCATGAGCTGCTCTAAAAATATTACTTCATAAAATATTAGCCTAGTGAACTAATAGTCATTTGCAGCAAATTCTATGGATAACCAATTACTGGAATGTCAGCACATACAAAATACATCACAGGAGAGCAACATTAAATAGGCTGGCGAACTACAGTGCTTGGAGTAAACRATGAGCAACACAAGGATGAATCAGGTTGAACACTCATCGGTTACACGTGGTAGCCAGCTGGGTGAACACTTCCCAAAATTAAGGCAAAAYAAAYATCTATTCAAAGCTGRAAGGGAAGAGACTTCTGTAATGTACTGCTGGGATGCCACCCCACCAGCTTCTTCGCACCTAATACGTAAAGAAATAGAGGTTGCAGTATATTCAGTACGCTGATGGGCTGACACTATGGCAGGTATCAGATCCAGATGCTAAGAATTTAAGCATGGATATGAAGCTGGACCTACTCTAGAGAGGGGAAAAAGGAAAAATAATCCAGGAAACACCAGGGATGAGCTAGTGAGCGCACTGCAAGTGCCTGACATGAAGCAGCAAGTCATTTGTGACTGCCATGAGACACAACCACTGTTAGAAATAGCAGGGAATTATTCACACTGTGTATTTCAGATATTCAAACAAGTAACAGTAACGCCAGAGCAGGGGGAAGATGGTTGAGACTATSTTATGTTTGACTCTAGCCTGAATGAACTCCTAGAACAGCTCCACAATTCTTTCCTGATCACACATAAAGCTCAGACTCCAAACTAAGCCCCCTGAGTTAGACACCCACAATACAGGGTGAAAACATCTTGCCCACCTAYTTCTGATAACGGCTCTATTATCCTTTAGTTTATATCAATATGAATTGTAAAATACAGAAAGGGGAGAACTTTTTTCATACATTTATGTTTAAGCTGAGGAGTGTATTTGCCTAAGTCACATTTTCAGAGSATGCTGGACAAAATTTGATTGAACACCAAGTCCACAGGGTATTTAACCGAATTCAAACTTCTAAAAACAAATCTTTAAAAGGCTTCATGTTATAAAATAACTATCCTACAAACTTAACTCTGTATTTTGAAATTGCAGTTAGGCTCTTTCTTTCCTTGTGCATCACCACAAATATTAAGCATTTCAGTTTTCAAAATCAGGCTTTCAGTTACACTGTAATTGGAATTTAAGAGTTTCTACAGTCAAAAGATGGGTTATTCCAGCAAACTCTTGAAGCAGGGTCACAATGTTCAACGGCCAAAGAGTTTTAAGAATGAAATACGCTGTCAARAAGATTAAACTGCCAACACTGCTGTGGTTGTATAAGGGCTTTTGAAAGCCCACATATGTCTGCCAAGAGGAAGACTTTTTATTTCRAGATGAAACATAGTTATATAAGCATGATATTTTTGTGCAGATTAGACATTCATAAACAATTCTACTGGTCATGCACAAAACCCAGAAAAACAATTATCRTTATTATTTTTCTCCTGTTCATGCTGGTCTAAATGGCCAAAGAGGGGAAAAAAATCCACTGCTACAGGCAGAAAATTTATATAATATGAATGTTGATTTGTCTGCAATTCTTAGATTTAGACTTGCATTTAGATATTAGTGACAAATTACGGAAACAAACATTAATACTTTAGAAGTCAACCACCTCAGTACAAGCATGAAATAGACTGGCTTGTTCTGTGCACAATGCCATTTTTAGAGACAAATGTACGCAGTCATTCTGCTGATTTGCTTAAAATCATTATAAATTGCCAATAATAAGTGGGCCAGTCAAGACAGAACTAGAACTGTGTCCGAGCTTCCATCTCTCACTTCCTTATGCAAGAAAAGTTTCAAGCCAGAAGATTTAGAGTATTTCTTGTAGCTAAAGTCATCAATGAGAAAATTTTAGATAGGAAAATTCTACCAGAGACAACACCTAATTTTCCAATTTTCCTCCTGTGCATTATAATTCAATATATTAAAAGAAAAAAAAAAAATACATCTTTCAGGTCAAGACAATAGATGCAGAAACAGAGCTTCTTTTGGAATCTGGAAGCGAGTAATTCCAACTGTCTCTATTATGCTTTTAAAATATCCCTTTTAATTTTCTTTTAAGTTTTAATTTAAAAAATGTGCTCCATCCATTTCTGAAAAATAGATTAGTGGTGTAATCAGATTCAGAACCTAAAAAACACAAAGCATATGCTCCCTGTTCAAAGGTTGCTCTCATTTCAAACTAATGTCAAAACTTTGCTATTTAGAAAGTAAATTTCAAAAACATTCGGTTTATACTGGTATGTATACAGCCAGCTCTCAAAAGGGCAGCTAAACAAAACAGTTACTGAAGACACACACACAAAAAAGGCTCATTTGGGATGTGAGCATGATTTCTTAATACCAAAACCAAACACTTTCCAGTATCCAATAACTCTCAAATGCTTTCCAATTTTAAGAGTTAGATTAAAAAAACAGAATCTTTTGGAGGTACCTTGGTTTCGCTTTGCAAGAATTGCTGTATTAGCCTCATCCCATAAAGAAGAGATACTTTTCCTTGTATATATCAGTTTGCTCTTAAAATTCCCTAAACATATGCATCTGTATATCAGTTCAACACAGGAAGCAGACAGCTGTAGATTTTTTAACAGCAAAGAGCTGATATTTAATTCAACATCAACTGGAAGAGAAAGAACATGTTGACAGAAGAAACAAAATGGAGATATGAGCAAATAATTTTTCATTCTTAATCTAGCTGAAATAGGGCTATTCCTTGGCGATTTTGAAACTGTCAATGACACACAGATATATAAAGGATATTCTTAACACATTCCCCGAGGCAAATATGGAAACATAAGGCTCCAGTTTATTGATAGTCTTGATGAAACACTGAAAACACTATAGGAATTTCTTCCTGGTGTTTCTAATGGCAATTTAAGTGTGGAAACTTAGATTTCCAGCCTGTCCAGCTTAGCAACAGGACAGCTATATTGTTTACACTGACTTATTGACTGCCAGGGCATTGGCCTCCAAAAAGAAGAGGACGTGCTCCTGACACTGACCCTTTGATTGAGGTATATGAACAGCCTGCTGAGAGATACAGAAATAAAACCTGCATTCTCTCTTGGAGAAGTCTTGCTCTCTCTTTAGGTGCACCAGTGGCAACCACCAGCACTTCAAGGCAATCTCCTACTGCCCAGTAGGAGCATTGCTCCCACTCCTTGCTGCCTCTTGTACACAACAAAGTCGACTGAATTCCCTATGTGCGGGGAAGAATTCTTAGGCTTTTTCTACAGAAACAACTTCCACCGCCAAAACTGTCCCCAGTCTCCCCCCCCAACTCTGCTTCTTTCTGGATTTACTGCATGGTTTATCCTTTTGCTAAAAATGGCTTTTTTTTTTTTCCTCTAAGCTTTTTTTTTTCTTTCCTGGGGTAATACAACAGTGGACCCGCCTTGACCCACTTTATTTACCTACATACTCACCCTTGCATGAATTATTTAGATTTCCTTTGTAGTTAAGAGCAGGATACATTCACTTCTATACTGCATTTTTATACTATATTTAGTCTATATTATGAAATGAATTATACCCTTCCATCGCCTATGACGGCAAGCCAAATGATGAGCTTATACACTCAGGATGTAATGAGGTAAATACTGTCCTTTCTAGGCATATATTTATATTTTAATTGAACAGTTTGGTGTAGTGCTTATTATATAACCAATTTTATAGCCATTTTATATTAACACCATGAATGAATATGTTATGGATTAATGTTAGGTCTAAGTATTTATTATGTTCTTGCATGAGAATTCACTTGGCTCATTAATATCTCAAAAAAAAATCTGAATGTGACCAAACTCGAGCAGAAAGGATACATGAAACTTGTGCAGTAGCTGCAATGCCTCTCTCCTCTCAAACAGCTCTCCCCACGCACAGGTTCAGCAAGGGGGAGGACTCCAGAGATGAGATACAGGCAGGGTTATGGTTCTCAATTGGATATGACCTTATTTTAACATTGTTTAGTACTCAGTGAGTACTAGTACTACCAAATCCTTGTTTCCTACACACCTGACGGGTCCTATTTCCATATATATGTCCTCATTTCCCACTGCAACACCACAGACGTTTCACTTGTGACAACCTTTGCCTCTGATGCACCCACGTTTTCCCCCATCCTTGTGCCTCCCAATCTGCCAGCTTGTTTCCAGGTCTCCTGGATAAYGACTCTAAGGAAACAGCTCTGTTCCACGTGCTGAAGTGCTCGTTTCAGCTACACAGGCTGAATGGTTAGCTACAGACCTAACAAGAAGGAACTTTTGAGTCCGTGGCGTAGCCTTTCCTTCAGCAATGGCACCAACCTGATTTTCTCTCCTCCACTTGCTTTCAGTTTCCACCAAATTTGCTGAAACTTTCTCTATTTGAGACCTCCGTTGTTCTGCCAAATTTGGTTGAAATTCAACAACTGGCATGAAAATAACGAGAGGGGAGAACAGGGAATTGCTGATGGACAGATGGGGAGAAAAGCAGGTAACAYAGGGCCTGTTTCAACAGAAAATTAAACCAAACAACAACAACAAAAGCTCTTGTTTTAGGCAGATTTGTTGCTTGGTAATGTTTAGAAAGTTGCTTTTGGAAGAATGAATTAYAATTTTCTTCACTAGCAAAGTAATCACCAACCATTAAACCACAGATAAACCAGGAAACACTTATGGGATTATTTTAGGGATTATTATATATAAAAAAGCTAGAAGTTTAATTTGTAAAAATTAACACATACATGCACAACAAATTAGCACACCAAAACCTTAAGTTCTGATGTGTTCCACACTAGTAATAAAACTAAAATAAAATTAACAGTATTACTCTTTCACTGCTTCTATTCCTAGACATTGGGGTGCAGAAAACAATATACAGCATATAAGTATTTTGGCTCTTCTGTTCCTTTGTTATTAAAGGATCTTAGAGCGCAAAAAGAAAGTCTGTTAAGGGATTTTTTTTTTTTTTTAATCTCAATGTTTTATCCAGTACGGCTGACCATAACTATAGTTATATTCAAAACTTGAATTTCGGTGTAAGATAGTTGCATATTTACTAATTGATTACCTCTGTTTATTTTTTTTCAGTATTTCTTCTTAAAACAATTAATTCAAAAGGGCAGTTGAGTTAAATAGCAATTTTGAGATGTGTGGTGAGGCCGCACCTGGCCTGAACCTGTGTTCAGTTCTGGGCACCCCAGTATAGGARGGACGTGGAGCTTCTGGAGAGGGTGCAGAGAAGGGCAACCCGGATGATTAAGGGAATGGAACATCTCTCGTATGAAGAGAGGCTGAGTGAGTTGGGCCTGTTTTCTCTGGAGAAGAGAAGGCTCAGAGGGGATATGATTAATATGTATAAGTTCAGGAAGGGAGAATGCAGGGAGGAAGGGGACAGGCTGTTCTCACTGGTGGCCAGCGATAGGACGAGGGGTAATGGCCACAAGCTGGAGCATAAGAAGTTCCGTCTCCAGGTGAGGAGCAACTTCTTYACTGTTAGGGTGACAGAGCAGTGGAACAGGCTGCCCAGGGAGGYTGTGGAGTCTCCTACTCTGGAGGTCTTCAAAACCCGCCTGGATGCCRCCCTGTGCCACATGCTGTAGGTGTGCCTGCTTGAGCAGGAAGGTTGGACTAGATGATCTCTAGAGGTCCCTTCCAACCTTAAATATTYTGTGAATCTGTGAATATTTAGCCACATACCTAGMAAATTGCAAAATAGGAAGGATTCAATAACTGCTTACAGTTTTATAGATTAAGCTTGAAGCATAAACCGTGTTTCTGTTATAATTTTTCTTAAGGCAATTGAGAAGTCACTCTCCTAGCAAAGTGATTTTTCTGAATGTTGCATGTTCACAATTCCAGACTGAACTGAACAGCAGCTCTGCATTGCACATCAAATCTGCATGCCCACACACTACCTTTGCAAACCTGCTCTGGAAGAGCACCACAGCTTGGCTATCACTACCAAAACTCAGCTAAAACTAGCTGTGTTGTCCTGGACTAGGACTGTGGGATCATACAAATTTTTGTATGGGAACGTTGCTTAGTAGTTCTGCTCCTTGCCAGCAAACTACTCTGTGAGGGACTTTCTGGGATAAATACAGTAGTTTGAAAAGATTTGATTATACTTAATTAAGCCTGGGAACTGTCACCATCCCTTTCAGCAAAAGTTGTGGTGTAGAAAAATTTACAGAAATTATGGTACTTATGCAGAAAGAGCATTTCATTTTCTTAAGAGCAGTCATCACTATGTCAGTCTCACAAGGAACTGTTCTAGCTAAATTCTGAGAGACAGCTCTAAAGCAATTCAAAGGGTATATGTAACTGTCTACTGCATTAAATTAATGAGATTTATCAGAAACACTCTCTCTTATTAAAGAGAAAATAAGCAAATAAGCAAAGAGAAGTGTTTCATTTCCCTTTAAGCCTCCAGTGACTATTAACAACCTACCAGATATTAATTTTAGAAAAAAACACTTTGATAAGTACTGAATTGTGAAATTGCATTGTGCAGAAATAGACTAAAGGAAGGTCGGAATTGGGCTAGTAACTCTAAACCCAGATCACCACAAAAGGGTCTCTCCGTTCCTTACCCTGCTTGCATGGCTTGTAGCYACAAAACAAGAGAGGAGCCTCCAAGTAGGGAAATGACTACAACAGAACAATAGAAGGTTGTTTAGGGTTTCTCCGGTGGACTGCGAGAAGACAAGAGCTCTCAGCATTTTCTTTACTCCCTTCTCTACACCAATCATAAGGCAAAAATAAGTCCTCCACTTTCAAGTACYGCACAGATTTTCATACCACAGGTTTCAGTAAAAGGAGCTTGCAAGGAGTCAACTGTCACCTTCCAACTACCAGTACTGCAATCTTAAAACTTTCATGCAGTTTACAATATATTCTGCTTTAAAAGCAAAATTTAGTAAGCCATCTATTCTTCTCCCCATCACTAGAGGGTGAACTCAAATTCCCAGCAATTTCCTACAGTGCATCTTAGCAATGGAATTCCTAATGAATAGCAGAATGGCATAACGAGAAATCTGAAGTGCCACACATGTACTGYTATAACTTGTTAAAAATATTGGGCAGCTAGGATTTATGCACAGACATCACACGCTTAATTGTAAATGTTGGCGTTAGCTTTTCAAAACTATGCCTGATTGGGAAGGTGGGGTGAGAAAAAAAAGAAGAAAAAAAGGCATTTACCAGCGTTCTATATGAAGAGCAGTAAAAGTCTTTTCTGCAGCTTTTCTGGTTAAAAGTTTGAATCCGCACTGTGTGTCCCTGATCTCTTTGACACAGAGAAACCATACGAGGAAATGGAACCCATACATAAGAAGAGTTCGGAAGTAAGAGCGCTGTAAAGAAGAGGCAAAAAGTTAGATGCTTCATCTATACAGTGAGCTAAGAGTTTAAAAAGAGCTGGCTTAAGAGAAAATAGTTCTGTTTTGTAGCAGCTTTCAAAGTCCTTAAACTGTTTTGGTTGGCACTAGAACAAAATCTGAAGTTTATATTGTTACAGCAGAACAACAGCACAGCTGAATACAAAGGCTTGTCAATTAAGTTCATGCACAGGATACTGGCCCAGAATATGAAATGTCCAAATTCTTATCCCTGCTTTCCTCAATTCAACAGTACTTTTTCATTCTGGATAATCCCATAGTAGTAGAGTAGGAACCTGAATTTCAGGTCATGTTTGGGCCCTGAATAGAGTCCCAATCATAGAGAAGACAGTCATAACGTTTTCTCTATATGTCTTCTCTATGATTCTCTGGGAATTTGGGGTGCTAGTATARGAAGAAAGAAGGAGAAGGGGAAATCCATACTACATCCTCTACCTCTACTTGCCATTCAAATGCTGTTTTTAATCTGTCTAGTCTTCTGTTTTTATAAAACTTCATTGAACAGGTCCAACAGATTCAAAAGTTAACAAGAAGGATGATACAGAACAAACCCAGCAGGACTGCATAAAAGCTGTTTTTCCTCAGGAATATACACTAAAAACTAAACAATAATACTCATATGGTATGTTTGTCCACGCAAGTCAGAGGCTGAGCTTCAGATTTAAAGATGTCTTTCCTAGGCTTGTATTGCAGACAGCTTCTAGAGTTTAGATCCACGAATCATGAACTCACTGCAGGCCTTAAGGTGAATATAGATTCTCGCATCCAAGATTACAAGTTAAACATGTGAAACTGTTGGGAGCCAACATTTTAGCTGGTAAACATCTCTGGATGATAAGAGATGCCTTTTAAAGCTATTCATTTCAAATTTCACTTGGAAAAAATTTGAAGATGCTCAACTTACTATGCAATAATAGTGATGAGAGCACTTATGCAAGAAGCAAAGTTGCTCTTTATAGACTTCCAATTTTCCTTTGGCYTACGAGAATTCAAATCCCTATCTTCTGTCTCCCAGAAAATGTTCAAGCCCCAGAATAACAGCAGACGTGGTGTGGAGTCTTTGCAACTTTTGATGATAGTGAACCATCATGCAAGACCTTTTACCTCAGCTTCAGTATTGGCAAAATATACACACGCACAAAATGTACACACACACAGTAGCCACATGCACAGAAACTGTTCCAGTGTACGAGCTTTAGCTGATCAGGAAAAAAAAAAAAAAAAAAAAAAAAAAAAAAAAAAAAAAACCCCAAAAAAAAAAAAAATTCCAAAGGAAAAGGTAAAAAAAAAAAAAAAAAAAAAAAAAAAAAAAAAAACAAACCACCAAAACATTAACTTCTGCAGGTTGTGCCTAACACTTCACATTTAAATAATATGAAAGTAAAATGGTTTCTTGCTGCCAATTATGTCAAGGATTTGAAGTTAAGCATGTAAGATGTTCTCAGCTAAAAAAATAAATCTTTAAAATTGAAATGCTAACTTTGTATGTAAACCAGTTTAAAGTTGATGGTGCTTCAAATCTAGAAGAATACATTCTTCATATATGATTGAGTATACAGTCAACTTATGACAAATTTTCCCTAACTTTAGCTTCCAGTCTTTTACAAGTTCTTATAATTTATTTGTAAAATCTGAATAGCAGTATCAAATAATGAAAATGTCTTGGTATTCTCCAAAAAAGGGAAACCTACCTTTGCTATTGAGTCCTTCTCCAGATGAGCTCTAGAGCCGCAGGAAATAGCCATCCCATTCTGCACAGAAGTAGAAATTTAAGACTTGTCAGTTAAACTACTGTTTGGAGCTCCCCATTACACCTTCAAGAGTTATAACAGATGCAAAATAAAAACTTATATAAAGTAATTTGTAAAAAAAAAATTACATAAATATGTAAAATTTCTGTACAAAAATACAAACCAGCACACCTTTCTGCTTCCTGTAGCTGCTTTATACTTTATACTTTATACTGCTAGATTGAGGCAAAAATAAATCTTTCTTCAATTAACCAAGCACCTACAATTTATTTTGTATATGACCCATATAAATTACTGCAATTTATTCATACCTGGTTTAGCTTACGTTGCTCCTCTCAGCTATGCAGCGAGCACACATGCTGAACAGCATACACAGCACCAAGTGCCCAGGCATGCTCAGTGCATATAGGYATGTTTGCCCTAAACACTACACTATGAAAGAACATTGCACTAATATATTTTTAAAACAAATGAAATGTCCTGCTATCAGTAGAAATATCATCTCAAAGAGATGATCCAAATGGAAAACTGAAAATTATTTTTATGYTACTCCTCCTCACACAAAATACTTCAAGCCTGCTGCATGTGGGAGCAGGTGAGTGGTGCTGGAGAACCAGGAGCTGCTGCTGTCTGGGCAGGGGCCCKGCAGCGACACACTGCCTCCCTGTGGCCCAGCAGCCCAGGGAACCCTGTCTTGCACCCCTTGGTCTCCCCCTGCAAGACTGTGTCTCACTTCTTAGCTGGCTTCCAAAATGCATAAAGTATTTCACTGTTCTGCCTTTAAACATTTGGTCAATGGAAGTAAGTCTCATTTCTTTCAAATTAAGTACCTGAAAGATAACAGATATCCAGGGAAAAGCTCTGTTTCTGGGCTGCAATTGCAGTTGTTTACAARTAAGTTGCTTAAACTGACAACTCTTAGTAGAGAAAATACTCTGTATAAAAGAGGGTGAAATTAAGATGCACCTTAAAGCTAAAGAGGATGACATCAGATAAAAAATAAGTATAAAAATCTCTTTAACAAGMCAAGAAGTGTTTTTAACTGAGCAGGCAACATAAGACATTCACAAAGATTATAACAGCTACAAATTAAAAATGCTAAATAAAGTATGTATTGCACTGAGAAACGCATGATGAATGCAGGGGAGATAAGAACTCAGGGGAAGTTATCTATTGACTGCCCACTTTCGTTATTCCAAAACCTCAGCTCTTCAGACCGCACCTAAATCTTCAACTGGATCCCAATGAAGTCGGGTTAACCGGAATTACAATAATTAACCTATATGCATGAATATTACACTAAAACCATAAGAACTTGTACTCACGGGCCATGGCTGAAGATTTTTTAGACCTTCTTCTACTTTTTCGATATCTGGAAATTTTGTAGCTCCATCTGCATCAGCCATAAGAATTTTTTCCCCCCGGGAACTAAACACACCCTGYAAATGAAAGAGTTAATAAAAACAAATAGCACCCTCCAAATCAGTATTCGGCATAAACCAGTTGCAAAAGCTTGCATAAGCCTAGTGTAGTAATTGTAGTAGTGGTATCACTGATACTGAACACAACAGGTGATTCTTGCCGCTGATATTCTGCTGCTAAGTACAGTAAATTAATTTATATTGCAACAATGCCTATAGAGAACTCACATAYTGCTTGGTGTTCCACAATAATAACACAAAAAGAGAGTAACAATCAGTCCCTCTCCTCACAATCTGAAAGCTCTGCAACCTAAAATCCTGAGGTAACAAGTTGCTACAGTTAGCTACACAGGGAGGCATCAAGAAGCAAGGATTAGCAACTCTTGCTTCACTGGAGAGCTTTTCTTTGTCATCTGAGCTATGCTTTATCAGTCTGGAGCCACGGAAAGGAGGAGGCAGCGCAACCTTCTAGCRGTGTTAGACTGCAGTGTGCATCACAGAAACATTCTCCTCCTAGAAGGACTTAAAAATATTATTCCTTAGAAGTATTCAGTACTTTAGCTATGTTTTCTATTTTCTATACTTACTGGTGATCGTAAGAAAACCCTCGAAGTGACCTATTAAAGTTTTAAGCTTTACTGCAACAATCAGCAGATAAMACACAACTGTAAACTTTACAATTACTTAGTAAATGACTGGAGAGGCTCTGACAACCCACAAATCATGCCCACCTCTTACTAAAAATAACATGCCACTTATCTTAGGAAAAATATTCCTTCTAAAATTTTAATTTTTTTTTGACATGATTTTATACAATATCTATGTGCACATTAATACCTAAAAGTATGAAATCTGCCCCTTCTATCAGTAAGTGCAATTGATAATGGTGAACTTCAGTGAGTACAAACCATCTTGGAGAAAACTGTTCAATAACCATTTTTTAAAGATAGAAACATGAGCTAGAAGTTTGCAAATTTAGCTGTASAGAAGTTTTTCTCTACAAAAGCTTTACTTAAATCTATTTTTTGTTGTTGCTTTTATTTTTTAGATGGAGGGCTGCTTCTACGCTGAACTAACAGAAATATAAAGTTGAAGTCTAATATTTAAAAAAAAAAAAAATCTTTTGAATTCTCATATGAAAAGAATTCTTTGCTACCACCCTTCCCAGGTAGGGAATATTGTTTTCAAGTTCTAAGCCTACTTTGTAAAGTGTTTTTGCTTCAATGTATGGGAACTGCTCTCAGTTTTCCTATAATCATTTCATTAATGTATTAAATTCAAAACTCTGATCAGTACATCCATATCATTTTACATAGTGGGGCACAACTTATTCAAGTAGAGAAGGAGATGAAAGCATCAGTTACCATCCTGACTGCTCCTCCTTTCCCTCGATTTTTTACCAAAGGAAGCACTCGCACTTTGTCRCTTCCATATTTCTTGCTGTACTTCAGCGCAACCTAACAGACACATAAAAAAAATCATAAAACAAAAACAGGAATCAAGRTAGAAGCTTTCATTTGCTCACCATTTTTAATTCAATAGCACAGAGTTATAGTCACTTCAGTCTGCACAAATACATTGCCCAGAGATTGCTGAAGTCTGTTCAGGAAAATAAAAACCGGTTCACAGTGAACACTGAAGACTGAAAGAGATAGTCATGTTCAGTAAGAATAAGATATTCCTCCTMGTAGTTTTATATCTCGTTTTATCTATCTCACCAAAGTCTGAAAGACTCAATACTGATGTAGTTTACATTACACTATTATAAGACTTTTATATTAACACCTACAGCTAGTCAAAGAAATATAATCTACTAGTGCTACCTTTTTCCCCTTCTGTTTCACTATTATCTCTGGTTAAAATAAATAAAATCAGAAAGGTCTGAAATTCATGCTGCAGGGATGTGCACTTTTGGTTTGTACTGCAGGGAAGAAAAAGCATGAGTTCTCCTCCAATCTTTTCCACAGGTTGCCTCCATCCTTGCACAGCTACTGTGCGCTGTCAGAAATGAGGCTAACAGGAATGCAAGGGAGACAAATGGACAAGTGCAATCCCAACAGTCAAAGTTAAGAGATGTGAGAAAGCAGCACTCATGTTCACAGCTGCCCTAAACATCCATCAAGTAATAGCTCAACAAAATTCCAGTTGGTCAGTCTTCACTGAATCTGACATGCATCAAGTAAAAGCASAAGATTGCAGAACTATCTGGGAAATGGAATTTTCCGGCAATGGAATTTTAAGTGAACAATTTCATGACCACAGCAAACTATGCTGCAACAGAGTAAACATAGAGGGGGGGGGGTAAAAAAAAAAAAAAGTCTCATGCTTACGGATGCTGTTATAACACACTAAATTACAAATTGTAATGTTCTTGAGGCGACATTGTGGAAGTGACCACGTACTTGTGTAGCTGTAGTGCCTGGCAGTATCATTTCATGATGGTATGGGGAACAGCTACAGAACATCAGCCATCATAGATGGTGCAAATCAGCTATTTCAAAAGGCTTCTTAGTTTCACTGAGCTCAGTATTTGCATTGCTACGCACACATAGTGTATTTCAGAGGAAATTTGAAATTAAAAACAATTTCAAATGCAGGGAAGTGGCTGTCAAATCTGCCAGTCACAAATAATAGCACTGCCCAAGATGTGTGTGCAYGTGACTCTTACAGTATGTGTAGGATAATGACAGAAACTGCCTAGAAACAAAATTTTAATTACTAAAGAAAACTATTCAAGTAACAAAAGGTAAGGACAGAAGATGGCCATGGTTCACAAATGCAATACATAAACTCAAAGGTCCAATTATTTAGTAAGAAACTGCTCTTTCTTACCTCCTTGGTTTGATCTTTACTACCATCGTCAACCACTATAACTTCATAAGTGAATGAAGGATCTTGTTTCTGAAAGCAAAGAGAAGCAATGCATTTGACACAACCTCTTCAGCAGTAAGCACACCTTTCAAACACTTTTGTTCTTTTCTCCCTAGCACCTTCTCATTTGTGTTTGCAGGCAGGCACCAAGATGATGCGGTAAATTTGTTATGATGGCAATTACAGTTGAAGAATTTTGTTATATCGATGTCTGTTTCATGACCAACAGCTTGTCATAGTTCTTCTAAGCTACTATCCAGCACTGAAAATAATGAATTTATTGAAAAAGAGTAGGCGAAAGCACTGTTAAAAACAGACAAAACCCGACAACCATCTCCCTGTCCCCAAGCCTTCATAATTTGCTTCTTAACCCTAATCAACCCTAATAAAAACATCAGATGTTTGTTTAAAAATATTGGAAGCACAAACTAAGTTGCATTTTAGAGAGCTAAATATCTGGTTAATTCTTAATCTCTGCCTTGGATACATACCTTGCATGCAAATCTTCGTTATAATTATTACATTTTTTACTTAATTAAAAAAATACCTTCAAGCATTCAATCTTAAAAAAGCAGATAAGAGACAGAAACATTACATTTAAGCAGCTGGTTACATGTCTTAACATATAACAAAATAATCAACTGACTCAATCATAGACWTACATGCAACGCACAGAAAAATAATGAATTCTGAATGAAAATACCTGTCTTTTCTCTAGGTAATCCAGAGCTTCATCCATCATAAGAGGCACTACAGAAAAAGTGGAGGAGCTCAGGTTAGTAGATACAGCAGGCTAAGCACCAAGACCACCAACAAGAACATGCACGAGCAAGCTGACACAAAACACAAAGCTAAGGAGAGCAAGCTGCTTCGTTCATAAAACACCAACCTCAGCCAACAAATGTWGCCCCTGCAACTCTAAGTCCTGTCTTTTCTGAATAAGAAAGGAATAATGAAAAAAAAAACCATGTCTAAGGGGATAAAAATATTTCTTTAAGGATCAAAACCAATGTTATTTTGAAATATGTAATTCTCTAGACAGTATTAGAGGAACAAATAAAACCCAAAGCAAACCCACCACACACATCAGTCACRGGTCACCTTGCAAACCAGCACTGACTAATCTTTTTGTATTTAAGAGAGGTGACAGAACTCAGCAAGGGAAATAGCTAGTACCAGTCAGGGTCATGCATTCTCTTACTAAGGCTGCTGGCCCAGATGCTCCAGGCACTTAACGAGCACTGCTTTTGCTGGTGATTTAYCTGTAGAATACAAGGTACCCAACCTCACAGTGGTTTTTGCAGTACACGCCTTTTCCACAGAACGTTTCAGGYGATTATTGTGTCTTTCAAAAGACAGAAGGCTCATTAAAAATCCCGTGAAATGTATTAAATCCTTGCTCACAGCAAGTATGCATCTGAGCATCAGGACTGTCTTCAGCCACTGTAAAACTCTCGGCTCCAGACACTGACAGGGCTACCCCTCAGTCTAAATGCATGTTATTTGCCAAAATCCCTTGTCATGCAATCCTGAAGAGCTCAGCACTGCCCCTTCACCAGAAACGGGGATGACAACGTGTGCTAAYGTGTCAACAACCACAAGCAGAGATGCAGAACTTGAAGGCTTTCTGATGGGATATGAAAGCACCACCTTCTGGCAGCATATGCATGGCCAATCACAGCATTATGGTTGGAAAATCAAAGAATCACAGACTGGTAGAGGTTGGAAGGGACCTCTAGAGATCATCTAGCCCAACCTTCCTGCTCCAGCAGGGACACCCAGAGCACGGGGCACAGGGCGGCATCCAGGCGGGTTTGGGAGATCTCCAGAGAAGGAGACTCCACAGCCTCCCTGGGCAGCCTGTKCCAGGGCTCTGKCACCCTCACAGTGAAGAGGATCCTCCTCAYATGCAGATRGAACTGCCTGTGTTGCAGCTTGCACCCATTGCCCCTTGTTCTGTCACTGGCCACCACTGAGAACTTGGAGATCATCAAGTTCAATCACAAACAAGCCCTTCAATACCATGCCTGCTAAACCATGTCCTTAGGYGCCTCACCTACACGTTTCTTGACCACTGCCAATGACAGCGACTCTGCCACTTCCCTGGACAGCCTCTTCCAGTGCTTGACTACTTTTTCCACATAGGAATTCTTCCCAGTGTCTAACCTGGACATCACATGGTGCAAGTTGAGGCCATTTGCTCTTGTCCTGTCTGTAGCTATTCTGGAGAAGAGATCGACCCTCATCTCACCACATCCTCCTTCCAGGTAGCTGTAGAGGGTGATGAGGCCTCCCCTGAGCCTCCTCTTTCCTAGASKAAATAACCCCAGCTCCCTCAGCTGCTCCTCACAAGGTCTGTGCTCCAGCCCCTTCACCAGCTTCACTGCCCTTCTCTGGACACGCTCCAGCACCTCAGTGTCCTTCTTGTWGTGAGGGGCCCAGAACTGAACACAGTATTTGACGTGCAGCCTCAGCAGCGCTGAATACAGGGGAGGATCCCTCCCTGGTGCTGCTGGCTACGCTGTTCCTGACACCAGCCAGGAGGCCGCTGGCTGCCTTGTCCCCCTGGGCTCACTACGGGCTCGAAGTCAAGCCAGAAATCAAACATGGGGCCATCCCATTCTGCCTGAAGCTGCTGCTGTTTGCTTTGGGGCAGGAAGCGCTCAAAAGTTGAGTTTAAAAACCCCTTTCTACTTCTTTCCCTATGACCTCTACAGAAGAGCAAGCAACTACTTTGTCATGCTTACTTTTGAGACAGAATATTCTTACAACTCACTTTYGTTGCTAAAAATAGCAGGGGACAGATTGCAGTTTCTTAACTCTGAAGTTCAACATACATGGACTGGTTTCTGGAAACTGGGCACAACGTTTGACACAGAATGCAGCCTGGCAGCATCTACTACTAACAAAAACCAACCTTGGTGCCATTAGGGCAATAACTGACAGTTTTTCTCCCTTTTTTTTTCGCCCAAACAAGGAAAATCTTACACCGGTCTTCCTCGTTGTAGGAAGGCACAACGACGGAGAGCTCCCTCGCGGCRGGATCGTAGATACTGGGCACGGGCTCCTTCCCGGCGGCGGTCACGAAGAACTTCTCCTCTTGGTGCCGCTGGAAGGCTGGCATTTTTACGGCAGTGACGTGAGCAATCGCACAGATCTGGGGAGGAAACGGGGAAACACGGGCATTTCGGGCGGCCGCCCGTAGGCTGGTAGCCGGGAGGGTATTTCCCGCTCGCCAAACGCCCGCGTTTCGGCGTTTCGCGCTCGCGCGGCGCCCACGGGCCGGGCCGGGCCGAACCGGGCCGGTACCGGAGCGCCCCCCCCCCGCCGCGGCTCTCACCAGCACGAGGGCGGCCGCCAGCAGCGCCGCGGCCGCCAGCAGCGCCGCTCCGGGCAGCGGCAGCGCCATGGGCGGCGGCCGCGCGGGACCCGCCGCTCCAGCGAGGCGGAAGCGCCCGCCCCGCCGCGCCGGGACACGGACACGGAGCCGCAGCCGGAGCCGCCCGCGGTGGCGGCGGGAAGCGCCGCCCCGGAAGGAGGAGGCGGCAGCGGCGGCGCGGTCATGGCGGCGGCCTTCAAGTGAGCGGCGCGGGGCTGGGGGTTCCCGCGGCGACGGGATTGGGATCGGGATCGCGCAGGGCGGGCGGGGGCGCGGGGAAAACCTGGRCCTGGAGGGCAGGTTCGTGTGTGATCCCGCCGCGCCCCCCTTTATTCCCAAAGGGAAGTGCTCTGTGCTCCGAATGCTGATAAACCGTGCTGGTAATTTCCGGGATCCTGTTGTGGAAAACGGCGTAAAGCGGATTTTGCAGTGTTAGATCTTTGATTAGAGAGTTCTAATAAAAAGACTGTTATGTTTTAAGGTGATAAATTGCTTTTAACTGCTTTGTACCTCTGAATCTAGYCCTCGAACTAACAAGATATTTCACAAAATCTGTTAAGTTGCCCTTTCTGCATAATTCCTTCAAATTTCTTCTTTGGCCTCCCTTGCCTCAGCAAATGCTTTTTGGCCCTAACTGCCTTAATAATAAGGTTCTGGTGGTGGTAGCTGGTGTGCATAAGCACAAGGGCATGYAGGTTCCYTAACTAAGGAGAACTTTAAGTAGGTAAAAGAAAACGCTACTGCTTTTCTTTTTTTTTATCCTTTTCACCTGTTTTTATAAATGACGCACGCGCTAGGGGAGCCGCCTTTCTCAGCTCGCTGAGGAGGCCCCGTCCTAGATCAGTTAGACCTAGATCAGTTTCCCAAGCTTGCTGTGGTTGCTGTCCAGCTTTCCAGGTTAGCTTGACTCCCAGAGCACTTCTGCTGTACAGAGTTGCCYGCTTTTCTTCTTAGCTTCCCTAGAGACTTGACTGCTTCCCTGTGAGGGTGACAGAGCCCTGGMACAGGCTGCCCAGGGAGGCTGTGGAGTCTCCTTCTCTGGAGGTCTCCAAAACCCACCTGGATGCCACCGTGTACCCCGTGCTCTGGGTGTCCCTGCTGGAGCAGGGGGGTTGGACTGGATGACCTCTGGAGGTCCCTTCCAACCTCTACCATTCTGTGATTCTTTGCGTGTGAACTTCAGTTTCTATCTATTCCAGGACAGTGGAACCACTGGAATATTACAGAAGGTTTTTGGTGAGTAGAACATGGTGTGCCTTTATAAACGGCTTGGAATCCATAGGGAAAGTGGGAAGTTCAAAGGCAAAACATGCTGTGAAGAGTATGACAAATTTTCCCCTATTTTTTTTTCCCTTTACACCTATGTTGTTTATTCTGCAGCATGTTGGATAAATGCTTCTTTTGGCCTCAGAAGCAATGTTGAATAAACTTGACTAAGATACAAGGCCAGTTTTCTGACTAGGACAAAATGATTCGAGGCTGAGTTTTTAGATGTTACTAGAACATAAAGAGTAGAGACTGTTACTGCTAAGCCTATTCACCATGAATGTGGAAGAAGAACATGGACTCTTTTTGGTAGTGCGTATTATATTAGCCTATGCATTACTAAAATAATACTAAGAAATGAGCCCATATCATTGCGGTCAGCCTTAATTCCTCTAAATACAGAATTTATTTGTATGTTAATAGAAGCTTCATTGCTTAGTTCTTTACCTTCCAAAACAGTGGTTGGCAGGGAGATAGGTAACAAAAGACGATTAAGATGTGGGCATGCATTAATTGAACTATTAAATAAAGTCTTTGTTTTTTGAAAAGCTTGAAATAATGGCAAATTATCATTCCCATCTAACATGGTGAAATGACACAGCTTTTAATTTAACGTGTATATCCAGGTTTTGTTGATAGCTTTGACTTTAGTTCAAAGCAATGTTTTAAGAGCCTTGCGAGATAGGGGAAAAAAAATACCTAAAAAAACCTAAATGATACGGAAAGGTGAAAACTCTAAATTTATCAATAATTCTTGGATAGTTTTCTAAGTCTAGTGTGTAGCACTTAACCTTAAGACAATTAAGCCACGTATATATTTTTCTATAAAATTTTACACTTAAAATTACCAATGGGCCATCAGTAGCTGAAATACTAGGTAGGCTAGTATTGTGAGTTTTCTCTAGCAATTTTGTAACTCCATATTTGTGCTATAAATAAGAGAACACTTTTTATATAAATTCACATAACATAAATGTTGGCATGAAACGTCTTTTTGAATTTGATTTTTTTAATTTTTGTTTAGAAGGAGAACTGTCGACCCGATGGAAGAGAGCTAGGTGAATTCCGGGCAACTACTGTCAACATAGGTAAGTGTTTATTTGGGATAATAATAAATTTTTAAAATATATTTTTAATAAAGTCTTTAAAATCATAGCTCTTGTTTATTTTATTGTTGGTGTCCTTAGTGACTCAGTGTTCCTGAAATTTGAACTTCAAAACAAGAGAGGAATAGGATTTGTACTTATAGTTCCAGTGAGTATTAAGAACAATGTATTGTACAGGAATATATTTGAGCACTGTTAGTCCTAATTCTGGGCTGATCTGTGCAGCATAATTGAGGTGCTTTAGGCTGCCTGGATGCTTGTCTAATTCTGAGGCCAGCTGTGTATGTTAAGGTGCTGACCGGCTGGACATGCACCGAGTGCCCCAGTGCCTTGGGAGCATCAGGGACTCCTGCTGTGCTCTCAGCTGGGCAAGCAGCTCTTGCACGGAAGCAGGATCCCTTCCGGAGCGCTGTGACCGGGTCTGGACCCCTCCGTGCAAGGGAGACAACATGGAACTACTGGAGTGAGCCCAGTGTGGGGATATGAGGATGAGAAAGGGCCTGGAGTGTCCACCTTTCGGGGAAATGCTGAGAGAGCCAAGCCTGTTCCGCCTCGAGAAGGGAATATTGGAAGCGGTTGGTATCAAATATCTTTAGGAAGGATGTCAGAAGGATGGGRCCAGACTGTTTTCAGTGGTGGCAGTGGTAGGACAATGGCCACAAACACAGCAAGTTCATCTGAATATGAGGAAAAACTTAACTTGTGATGGTGAGTGCTGGAACGGGCTGCCGGAAAGGTTCTCTGGACATTTTGGAACCTGCCTGCACATGACCCTGTGCCACGTGCTYGAAGTCTCCCTGCTTGAGCAGGGGGTTTGGACTAGATGATCCCCAGAGCTGTTTAACCTCTTTGCATGGTAGAAAGGCACAATTTCATCCAGCAGACCATTGACTGCTCCTCTGCTAAAAGAAATTATTACCTCAGATTTGCATTAAGGAACTAAAAATTATATGGTGCATGTGAGTTGACTGGATCAATCTAATAGTTAGGCAGGCTTATTCCAAGACAGAACTTTAGGAAAAAGCAATGCCTTTCTTATAGTTTGTAAGCCCAGTGTTCTGATTGTTGGTAGAGAAGTGTGGTAGAGAAGTAGAGATTCCTCTCCCACCCTGAATTAATGGACACTTTGCTTTGCTTAACCTGTATTTGTTTTAAAATGATGTAAATGCTTTTTGAAGTTGGTTGTTACTTAAGGTCCTTTGAAAGGAAATAGATTTCACTGAACAGCATTTTCTGTCTTCAGGTTCAATTACAACTGCAGATGGTTCTGCCCTGGTGAAATTAGGAAATACTACAGTAATTTGTGGAGTTAAAGCGGTATGATTGCTTTTTGTTTTAACTTTAGTTGAATTTATGCATTTATCTTTAGAATGAATCTTCTGGAGAGCTACAATAATGTGTCAGTCTAACTGTTATTCTTTCATAGAGGTTACTTTTAGGCACGAAACTAGAAATAATCTCATTGTCTAATCCTACCTATACAGTTTGAAAACATGCATTTTGTGTRTTGGGGAAAGAAATACGTAAAATTGAAGTTTTGTTATTTATTGACAACGAGCTGAATGAAGAGTTACTGAAAATTGATTAATGAGGGATTTGGAGTTAAATAGTTGGACTGTTGAGTGACTTCCATCCCTCAGCTTTACATCTGGCCTGCTGTGAAACAGGAGGCAAATCACTGCATTGAGTTTTCCCTCATGCCAAATTGAGATATGAAGACCTGAAAACTTGAAACTGACTGATAGAAAATGGCTCTTATAAATCTAATTGTCATGATAACTGGCAAGGAAATGACTGTTCATACATAGAATAGCCAGAAACTCCTTTTGTGAATAAAATTTACCTTTTTATTTTGTCTCATTCTGCAGGAACTTGCAGCACCTCCAGCAGATTCTCCTAACAAGGGGTATATTGGTAAGTATTTCAGTACACATCTTTTTCAGATCTCATATTACTTCAGCTAAATGGCTGTAATGATGGGATAGATTGAATGCATGGTGAAAAAACTTTAAAAGAAATAAGCTAGGYAAATATTCACTAAATTCCTTAAGTGAAGGAAGTTTTTAAACTAACATATAGTACTTCAGAAACAAAACTAGCTTAAATTAGTAACTACTAATTTTGGTTGTGTAGCTTTCTGGTAGCTCAAAATCTGCTGAGCYTTTTTCAGGTTAGAAATTCCCCTGCTTTGCTTTTGAAATCTCTGTGCAAAGCTGCCTTCTTGTGGCTGATTCCAGCCCAGACTGAAAAGTGTGCTGGGGGAGAAGGGTTCATTGACGGAAGATYGTGTCTGAAGGGTTGTGCAAAACTTTGTTAACTTTTGCCTGGAAACCCCAAACAGAGACAAACAAACAAACAAAAGACCCTTAAAACACTCTAATGGACCCATTTTTGTAACAGTTTTTTTCCCAAGGTATTATATAAATCCTGAGAGTAGATGTTTGCTCCTTTGCGGAGTTCTTTTCAAATAAAATCCTTCTGTGAAAATGAGAGCTTTTTGGAACTACCTTATGAAAAGGGGATTTGATAAGTATGTTGTTGTCAGGGAGCTTTGTTTATGCTCTCGTTTTCTTCTCTGTAAACTTTATGCATGTTTTTGCTCCATGTCTGAAGTGTCAAGTTTTAACAGTTGATGAGAAGCAGGTAGCATCCCAGTAAAGTCAGGCTGTGGCATGAAAATGCTCTTGTCTCTTGATCTCATTAGGAATGTCTAGCATTTAAAGAAGAGTTGTGTGAGGTCATGATATTCATAGCAGGATTACAGACAAAAATTATAGTTAGGTATAAGTGTTTCTTYATGGAATAAATAGTTTCAGAGTGCMAGGTAGTATAAGTTTTTTATATAAGTTCTTTAAGCTCATAAATAATTTTTGAGGGGAGAATAAAAGTTTGCTTGGTAAGTTCTTAGTCTTACCTTTAATTCAAAGTACTTAAAATAGTATTGAGATAATAGTATTAGTGGTAATGTCTATTGTTGCATTTATATTTTTGTTTTTTTCTATAGCATGCTTTCATTTAGTTTTTAACTAATGATTTTTGATATCTAGTTCCCAATGTAGAACTGCCATCCCTCTGTTCAGCAAAGTTTCGCTCTGGGCCTCCCAGTGAAGAGGCTCAAGCAGCAAGCCAGTTCATTGCAGATGTGATTGAAAAGTAAGATCCATTTTAATGCATTTAAAACAAGAACATCTCTGCAAAATKATTTTTTTTTGTTTACGCTCTCATTTTATTTTAGTTCACAGATGATAGAGAAAGAAGATCTGTGYATTGCAAATGGCAAGGTAAGATGTAACTCGGATGAAGAAGGACTTGTTAGCAAGATCACAGTGTAAGGACTTTAAGGAAGGTATTTTGGGGGTAATAGATTGTTAGCTTTTAGTTTTGGTGCCTTGGATTACATCTAAAAGGCAAGAAGTTCCTTATTGTTGTAAACATCTTTGTTCATATGCTCAGCATGTGCTTAAATAATGCACTATTTCTGTGTCTGCTTTAATATCTCACATATGTAAATCTTTTTTGGTAGCTTGCTTGGGTGCTATACTGTGATATCATATGTYTGGACTATGATGGAAACATTTTGGATGCCAGTACCTTTGCCTTGCTGGCAGCATTAAAAAATGGTAAGTTTTCTTTCCGGTAAGACCTGTACCCTAAGTACTATTGCTTGGAGAATGAGTTAGTTCTAGCTCATGATGACTTGTCAACAAGTTTATAATCGCTTCAACAGAAAAAAAAAAAAATATATATATAGTCACAATAATTCCTAGCTTCATTGGAAAATGATTTTGATGCAACCAATATATGATTGATAATTCACAAGTTTAGGGGTCATAAGTGCCTGTAGGAGGGTAGCATAAGGGAATGCTTATGGCAAAGCCTTTTTTTTTTTTTCTTTCTACCCATGAACTGCTTCCCTCTGAATTCCTGCAGCTTCTTTGCTTTCTATTTCCATGATGCTGCCTCTGATACTGTCTAAGGGAGAGTTTTCTGAAAATTGGATTGTACTGTTTCTATGGGTATGTAAACAATCGCTGAGACTACATTCCTGTTCTTAATATGGCTAGTAGACCCTTGGGGAACGATGCTTTTTTGTGAAATACAACTCTTAAGGTATTGTCATTTTACAACATTTTAAAAGCAGAAAATGCTTCTGTGTAAAGAAGAACTTGAGGAGTAAAAGGAAATACTTATTTGGACAGATAGTTCAAAGCTAAATCCATTCAATGAATTCAAGATTTTTTTTTGTACAGAACACTGATAATGTAGCCTCATCTGTTATGATCATTATCATTATTATTCTCATCTGTTTTCAGTGGCTTACCAGTATGATAAAAGAATAAATATTTCTGTAGCCTWCATCATCTGTGTGGCTCCCTAAAACAATGTTTAATGACATATGATTGTTTGTTTTCCTTCCCTTTAGTACAGTTGCCAACAGTTACTATAAATGAAGAAACTGGTTTATCAGACGTTAATTTAAAACAGAAGAATCCTTTGATCATCAGAAAGCATCCGGTTGCCACGTCATTTGCTATATTCGATGAGTAAGTTGGTAAAGATTTTGTACTTAAAAACAGCTGTGTAGTTAAAAGAAGTGGGGAAAAACRGAGGCTGTTACCCAAGGAAGTCACCTCTTACTGGTTCGTGCTAGGGAAGACTTTGCAGGGTCTGTCAGTCCAGTTCTGCTTATCCTAGGCCTGTTTTGCTAAACTGTTCCTTGGTTCTGTGGTTTGAAGGAGTAGGCAGTAGAACAGAGTGAACTCTGTCCAGCTTCTTCCTRTGACTTAAGATACACTTACAAGTACTCTGGGATTGAAATAAGTTTCTGGAATGGGTATTGCTTTATGTTTGTGCAATGTCTTTGAATAGTGTTACCGACAAGTTAATCTTTCAGAAGCTTATGGATGCAAAAGATCTTGGTTTTGATTAGCTTATACCAAGGACTTAGCAGCAGAAGCAATTAATAACAGTGCAGTTAAAACAACAATAATTCTGGATAGCTGAAGACGTAAATGCCCAATAGATGTATGGCCAGCACTCTTAAATCATTATTCCTTTAGGTACMGAATCTGATGATGAAAGCTTAAAGTGATGACATCTGACAGTTTGACACCTCTCATTTACTGGCTTTTCATTTAGTCTGTTAATTACACAATTGCAATCGGCTCAGAGTGCTTTTAAGTTTTGTTGAAGTATTGTTGTTCCTGGGAACACAGAACTTACTTAAATTTAAATATGTTCTSTGGCTGTTTATAAAACATGCAAGTATTTATGATGATACCTGTTTGAGATGAAAAAAAATGACAAACAGGATGATCACTTCTTGGAATCAGATTCAAGGCTTAGGTATTTTTATGGTGGCTGGGAGTTATGCACATTTACCCTACATTAACAGAAATTACTAATAGACCTTTTGTTCAAACATARGAGGCCTAGGATGAGCAGAAGGGATGCCAAACTCAAGTGTTGACCAGCTGATGATCAAAATGAACCAAACTCAGTTATCAGTATTTTAGCGTGCTTCTTTTAACTACTATAATACAAATTCTTGAGTGGTTTAGGTTTGACATAGACTAGAAGTGAGAAAGATTGTATCCCATGAGAGGCACACAGTTATCAGTATGGTTATTACTTGTCCTTAAATCATCCATACTCATCAACAGACAAAGGTTGCCTCTGTTGAAGGAGGCTATACACAGTTAGGCCGTATGGGTCTTTCCTCCTTTTGCTGGCACTGCAAATGGTTGTAACAGCAGTGATTTTTTTTTTTAAAGAAACTAAGGCTGAATTGTAGCTTGTTTTTTATTTTTTTTTTGTTTCCTTTTAATTTCATTTTTTTTCTTGTGCAATACTGACTCCCAGTTGAGACGGTCTATGATCAGTGTTAGAAATCTGATCAGAAATTGCAAACTGCTTTGGTGAACTTGCTATGCGAAGTTAAGTTAACCTTAAGGTCTGGTAATGAGGTTAGTGTGCAGTCCATGCAAAAGCCTTAACACTGTCTTCATGTAGAGTGTAGAGTCTCTTTAGCTGTGAGTGAGTGTTGCCAAGAGTGGTTCATTGATATGTTCCTGAAATAAGAGGGTAGCACGGGTTGCTCGCATGCAACTTTCTGTGTAACAGTTTCAATGGTAAGTCTTGATAGACTCAAATAGRTCTTTCAATTTAATACTGAATCTTCCCTGTAATAATTTGCATTTCCTTCTTGTAAAATTGGTGTATTTTGATAACGTAGCTGGTGTTATATAACCTGTGCAGTAAATTACAGTCAATTTTTGTTAAGACTATACTTAAAAAAATAAAAAGCAACTTCTGTTTTGCAATGAAGTTAACGGATCCCCATACACAACATGTCTGCATGTGTTTTCTTTCAAAAGCACGTTACTGATTGTTGATCCAACTGTAGAAGAGGAAGATTTAGCAACTGGAACAGTAACTGTTGTAACTGATGAAGAAGGCAGACTGTGTTCAGTCCATAAGCCAGGTACTCCTCAGTTTACTGTACAGACAGTGTAGAGATGACAACCTTTTTTTTTTTTGGAGGCAAATGTTTTATCTACATTTCTTTGTAAAATGTGGTTGCTTTGTAACAGTTGAATGGCTGGAAAGTATTTACGCTTATTATGTCACTTGCTCTTAAAATTAAGTCTGAAAATGGCAGCATGACTTATTTTAAAAAAAGTCATAGCTAGCCTTATGTATATTCTTGTGTATGTATGTTCTTGTGTATGTAAAAAATGATAGATCTTGTACAAAGTCTTATACTTAAAAGACAAAAACCTAAAGCAAACTTCTTGACAGCTGAAGTGTAGTTGGTGAAGCTGATATTCCCCAGATTTAAGTTGGTGGTTGTAAGAATTTGAGTAKTATTCCATGTTTTCACTTGGAAAATAGATGTGAAGAAATCTAACCAAAGTATAAAGGAAAAACTAAATTGTTTTTTAATTTTTAGGTGGAAGCCCTCTGACAGGAGCCAAGCTTCAGGACTGTATCACCAGAGCTGTTACAAGACATAAAGAAGTAAAGAAGCTGATTGACAAAGTGATAAAAAGCATACAACCCGAATGAACAAAGGCAAGAGCTTTTCAAAAATGGATTTGTAAAAATTGTATTTGTTACASTGTCCACAAACCTTTTATACTAAATAAACAAATACCAATACTACATTTACAAAGTTCATTTTTCTAAAATGATTTTCACCCTCAGACTATATACAGTGCTGCCGAATGGTAAAAAATACAAGATAAAACATTCTGTTAAAAAATTAAATGACTTAAAGAAACCAAGCCCTAGCTGCTTTACAGGCAAAATCTCCCATTTCCAAAGGGCTGGCTTCCTAAAGCAGTTCCATTTATTACAGTGTAGTTTCAATAGCCATTTTCCCACCAGCAATGTAAAACACTGATTTGTTTTTAAGCTTTCTCCTTTTTAAAATTTAAAAAATCCCCTTTGAATCATTAATTATATATAGAAAAAAAATGCAAGTCTCAGGATTTTGGAGGGGCCGGAGTGCCTCTCTTCCTTTTACTTTTTGAGTGGCTGCCTGAATGCTGTTGATGTTGTAGGTGAGCTGCTTGAGCTGCTGCTGCTGCCATAGCCATTTGATGCTGCAAGAATCGCAACTGCTGCCGTGAAAAAGGAGGGGAAAAAAGTTTGTTAAGAGTTAGCTTGAGAGCTACCTTTCATCTCAGGGAGAATGACAGGAAGGGGAAAATGAAATAAATCGAGACTTTAAGTACAGGGTTAACCAAAAGGAATATACCACGAACTGGGGCACTGGGTACAGTCAAGCAGCACCAGTGGCACAGAAGCCTGCTGAGGGCTCGTCTATCACTKCACACACACACACTTAGTGCTGTGCTGTTTCTTTGCCCTCTCTGGGTTGCAGTAACTGCAGTAACTCAGCAACTTCAGTCAATCTGTTTGGCTTAGCAGTACATTTTTAGCACAGTATTTTCTGCATGTATCACCTGAAGGAGACTGTGGGATCAAATAATAAAGCATTTTTATATAGCTATAAAAATACAYCAAAGGAATGCTTTGCCAGAGCTGCTTTGTCTGTGTACTAATCGCAGCTGTTCTACACTGGACCTTACAGGTGCTTACAGATCTTGCTCTTGCATTATCGTGAAATCATAATGGCACCTGGCAGAGCTTATTTTTAATGTGCCACAAGCACTCCTTGAATGTTGTCAAATCAAGAAGGTGGATGGTTTACATGAATAAAAATAAATTCAGTGCTCCAAGCTGAGATAACAGATTTTAAGTCTTTCACGGTGTAGTCTGCCAAAATGTTTTATTGGTTTGAGAGGCCACAAAAAGAGTAAAAAAATTATCCAAGGGACAGAATATTTGCTTTTGGAGCTGAGAATTGTATTTTTTGGTATATTTTTTTTTTTTTAAATGCAGTCAGAGCGAAGTTGCTGGATTACTTGTATCTGTTGCTGCTGCTGCTGCAAGGCTTGTTGTTGCTGTTGAAAGGCAGAAGAGAGCTGGAGTCTCTGCTGAGGAAGGCTTTGCTCAGGGCTGTTCATGGCAGAGCCAAGCTGAGACAACACTATGGAAAGGAGAAGGGGAAAGCAGGCAGGTCAAAGAGGTCGAGTTTGTCAGGATTAGGAAAGGAAGACACAGGAATAGAGAGCAACAGAAAAGGGGATCAAGAGAATTAGTTTCAAAGTGAAAAGTGGAAACAGTACAGAATAAAGTATACGTGATATACATACTCGGTGATATACATACTTGGTTAGTTAGAAGGTAATTAGATTATGAGGTGCATGTAGAGACACAAAAAGAGTTCTGTCATACTGGTTGTTAAGCACACAGTTAAAGAAACATTCCTCAATGAAGTCTGGCATGGAAATCTCTGTGTTTTCTTTTTGTATTAAGTGTGACTTATGTCCATATGTCCTTTAAAGATAACCAATTTACTATGCCAAGCATATGCCAAACAAAACAGAAAAGTGCATGCTYTGAAAGAAACTTTCTTGTGTAACTCATGCTAATAATAAAGAGTACATCGTTTTGATCTAATGTAAGGCTGCTTTAAGACCAAACTTCATTTCAGTATGAATTTACCAACATACACAAGTACAAGAGGAGGCGCAGCAAGCACGTACCTGTGGCCTGAGGTTGCATAAAATTCCCTACTCCGGTCAGGTTAATCACAGCAGCTTGCTGGGYGGATAAGGCCTGATCTTGGGTGGATGGACCTTGGTCGGACCCCTAGCAAAACAAAAAAGCTTGGTCTTTACTACCAAACTTGGAGAGCAGTCAATAAATGAAGCTGTCATGAAGACAAACGGTTCAAGTGCCTATTTCAGACTCTTAATTCTTCTTTTTACAGTGAGTGCAGATTCAGATAATACTGTAGTCACTGTTGAAGCAGCACCTACAGCTGCTGGAAGCCCCAAGGCAGCTCCTGTTAGGCCTGTTACCTAGTGGAAGAGCCAGCAAGAGGGCAACTTCCCCACTGAAAATCAGCAGCGACACCTTCATGGTCGTGCTGCAAACCATGCTGCACTTTATCTCCTACCCAACACACCTGAAGTCTTCAGCTGGCACCTGAGACTACCTGCATGTGAAAATCCTAATCATAATCAAAATGTGAAAAGCCTGAAATGCATATTCACAAGATTGTGCCAGGCTTTCCTTAGTTTCATGAAAAACACATCCACTTTGAAATGTTATTTTCAGAACAAAGCATCTTGTACATTAATCACACAAATGTAATTATTACAGCCCGATCTGGCACTCACTGAGGTCACGTTTTGCTAAATTACGGCCTATTTGAAGACCCTGTATTAATTTTAAAATCTGGAAAGCAAGTGCTTAAGTGGGTATTACGTATGTGATTTAAGCAAGCCGGGTGGCTCATCGTAAGGGAGGAAAAAGAATGAAGTCTGAGCTGCTGTAGTGCTTCTATAGAATAACCATAATAATGCACTAGGATCTAGGTAAACTTTGCTAAAAGACTGCACATTAAAGAAAATGTTAAGGTAGTGTGTATTARGAACATATACATATTTTACAAATCGAAGTCAAAAAACATCTGCAAAACAAAACAARACCAAACTCCTTAAGTACGCGAAAAGTATGACTGTATTCTCTTGGCAGAAAATGAGTTTTTCTTTTGGCTGAAGTTTTTTTTTCCCCACTGAGCATTTGGAGGGCAACACTCTAAGCAAATACAGTTCTTGTATTTCTAATTGCTGGTTTTAGCCAAACAACCCCTGTCCTACTCAGTAACTTGTGCTGAAAGAAAAGTTCCTTCGGGACAAGTTAGCCAACACTGCGAGACTTACTTCCTCCTGAACTTTGCCAACGGCCTCAAATCAGCCTTTGTGCCTGCTTTTATTCAGTGCATAGAAAAGAAACCCTAAAAGCACCAGCTTGCCTGATCTTTTAAAAAATAATTCAGCTGGTAACTGACAGTTGGATTCTCAGAATAAATCCAGAAGTCTCCCATTAAACTGTCACACATTCCAGAACAAGACCTGTGACACAGGAGCCTGTTCACCACATAAACCTTTTAAGAAACCAGCTTACATAAAAGAAAGACTGTAACGTATTAGACTAATACTCTCATTTTCAGAGGCATCCTATTTTTAGCCGGTCTGCAGCAACTCACACAAATGTTTGTCCTAATTTTGTTTATCTAGTGGAGACTGTTTGGTAAAACAGAAATCTTGAATGTCCAGAAGACAAAGGAGTTTGTAACTCAACTCAAAACACAAAAGCAGAGCAGCCAGAGTTTTCCCCAAGTGCTTCATGAGTCCTGGTAAGATTGTGAGATTTTAGGCACAGGTGGAACCAACCACTCAAATTTTGTTAGTTTGAAAACAGATTATTCTCCACCAAGAGTTCAGACTTCTTCAGTGATTACAGCCCTAACACTGATTATAGACAGCAGTGAAGCAAATTTTGGCTTTGAAGCCAAGAGGTACTTCCTTGGGTGCAGACAGAACAACCCTGTTAAATGACAGCACTGAGAAATAAGCCAATTCCTGACAGCGGGAGTAGGAAGCTTCAGTTATTCTCTAGTAATCCTGCCGTGTGCATCTTCTCTGCTCCTCTGCAGTGGGGGGTGTGTGCTAGGTGTGAGGACCAGGACCACACCAAGTCTGCACCACCCGTGCGCTGGGCTGCTCCCTTCCTGGCAGGGCCAGGTGTGCTTAGGCAGTTCCTCCTATTGCTCTTTTTTACMGGATATAAATAGGTAACTCTGACCCAGCTCCAGCCGTGGCACTGAAGCCACTGCAGTCTTTGCAATTCCATAAGGATCTGGAGGATGCCTCCCCGCATCTGTTTTAGATCTGTGGCATAAAGGCCTATCCTTTTGTGGAGACTGGGGAGAAAGTTTCATCCGAGCACCCCAGACTGAGGGCTCTTAGYACACCCCTGTTCTCCCTGCTGCTGAGGACTACAGGTGGTAGCACCTTGAGACTGTTGCTCTGGAGAAAACTGTGACAGCTGCTGCTGTTGTTGCTGGAGTGGGTTAAAAATAACTGACCTACCTGGAAGCTGCTGAAGATTAAAAACAAAAGGCATAATTCAATCAAACAGCTGGGTTGCCCACTGATTATGACATTGATACTGATGCACTCYTTGGAAATTTTGCAAAAATCCTTCAAAATGAATCACTCTACAGATGCTTTTGTTCATGAGAAARCCTCATGCTCAGAAAACAAATCCGAATTAGATGTAGCTAGATATCTCTACAGCAAAATATATTATCATTGTTTTAATAGTAGAGATTACACCAACACTGGATGTAGTAAGTCTTCAAAAGCACAGAATACTAAATTCAGAATATTCCACTGTATTTAGATGTTTCCAATCAATGATTTGCAAAGTCCAATGCAAAGAAGAAATATTAAAATGAAACGGTTTTGATTTCGCTCATTCCAGTTTTCCAGTATAAAYTGCACTGATTTCAACTACATTCATCCTGACTTACAGAGAGGTCCGAGGTAGCCTGAGTGGGCACACTCTGGTTTGGAATCACAAAAAAAAAGTATTTCACTGTCCTGAAGGGCTCTCCCCTGGCATAACTGCCTCCCATGCCAGCCCTATTCCCTGTTTCTGGAGCATGTCCAGGAAAGAGGAAGTAGCAAAGCTGTGGCTGATCTTTCACTACCATTAAATTCTGGGAGCAGGATGCTTGGGAACAGTGGTTTTTTTTTTTTTTTTTTTTTTTGTAGAACCTGGGATTTGTGGCAGCTGGAAGCTGCACCTCTGCAGCTATAACTTGCAGGTGGCTTCAAGATCCTGGAAGTAAATCCAGCTCCATGAAATTCCCTTTACATGTGCTCAGACATAATTAGTGTCCTTTGTACATGTTTGTTTTGTTGTGCCTGTTTAATTTAATGAACACATTTATAAAGCTTCTACACTCTCCATCTTAACTTCTATTTCCACAACCAGAAGCTCTTTTAAAGCAATTATTGCACCTACTGGTGCAACCTCAGCTCAGCTTTTAGGCCTGTTCGTGTAGCTGTGAGTGACTCTGCTTTGTGCTACTTTGTGTGCTGCTTTGTGCTTTTCAAATAGACATAATCCCTGTTTAAAAAAAAATCCACACTGAAAGCATAGGCAAACACTGGAAATGGAAGATGGTATTTTAGGTATTTAATCTCTTGAATTCAAATGTCAGCATTTTTATATTTTTACTGAGAAACAGCTACTTTGTAGTGAGCTGAGAATGTCATTCCCACTTGTGATCTTTATGGAACCAGCTTTCTTCTCTTGAACTGTTTTAAATAATAATCAAAAATTTACAATAAATGGTTTGTTTCTGATAAATTGTCTCCAAAGAGCTGTGTGGGGCAATGTACAAAAAGCACTACAGCTGATTACAAAGCAATATGAAAAATTATCATTGTCAAGTGTGCACAAGTGTATCAATTACCTGYAGAAGATTTAAGGGTCGAAGATTTGGTGCATTTTTCAGACCAAAAGGGCTGCCTGTTAAAGAAAACATCTTTTTATTAGTAGAAAGTCATTACTTAGCTATATGTGAGTTGCATCACATGTACCCCTTTCCACTAGGATTATTTTGGAACTTTTGGAAGGTGGAACTTTACACAGTGCTGCATTTTTCCTTGTCAGAAAGAGCAGTTGCCCAGATTTAAACTTAGTCCCAAAAGAAAACCGTATCACTGCTAATCATGGTACCCTGTAAGCCCTATACAACCTGTTGCTGCATTTACAACAAAGATGAATGTGGAGAATATTACAGCAGTTAGTTATTCCTCAGTGATTCTTATCCTAGCTTTATTTTATTTATTTATTACCATTTGTGCAGGAAATTCAGGAATATCTGAGGACTTACTGAGGTAAGCAGGTTCTTACAGTTTCTTTAGAAAGAAAATTTTAACATGGCAAGTAATAGAAAAACTAAACAAAATAAAAATACCCCAAATCTTGACCACTGTCCTCCATACAAAAACTTCTGGAAAGACATTTATATCTTCCATACAGCTTTTGCMACTAATGTACATGGTATTCCTCAAATGCTATAATAAAAAAAATGTATTTTTTAAAATTTGTATATAGTAACCTATAAACTGGATTAAAATGCTTCAATAAAATGGAAGCTGTCAAACAGAATCCCCCAGGTCTGCCTCAGACCTAGCTGAAATCACTAGTAATGTGGACAACAGTGTGTGTAAAATCTGTGTAAGACACCAAAACTGTTAAAACTGAATAATCTTTGTAAGTACAGGAATATAACTTAAATGATACTAATGCTTTGGAGAAAAGGTCCCAAAATCAGTGATAATATATTCAAAAAAGACAAGTGAACAGATACAACATGGTGAATAGCCAGCTTTGCACCCATACAGCAGGAAGGGATGTGAGAAATTGAAGTCAATCACAAATGTATCTACAACATCAATACCACACACTGCAGAAGAGACAACCCTTCACACATAGTGCACACTAACAAAACTCACTGTTACAAGATGCTGTAGATGCTGAAAATATAAACAGGTTCAAGAAGCAATCAAAAAATACAGATAGATCCAGAGAATAAAAATCTAGCGGGGGGATATTAAGCACAAAGATCCACCTGGGCAGCCTTTACAGAGACCTCCTCAAAACTGCAGATTGTCAGCAGAGGTGGGGCTGTTTGCAGGGCATGGGCAGCTCTCAGGTACCTGCCTGGTCTCACCCTCTCCCCTAAGTGGTGTCTCATGTCCTCTGCTAGAGACACAGCAGGAGCTGGAAGGATTTTGGCTAGCCCAGTATAGCCATTCTTATATTAATGTAACTGCTGTTGGAAAAAAACCCACAAGTAAAAGCAGGCAGACGTCCTCTGGGGAAATGTTAACAGGAATGTTGTAAAAGAGATGAGATGCAGTTATTCTGCTGTGCTCCACAGTGGTAAATCAGCCAAGCTCAGGCTTGTGTCCACTTTTGGGTATCACGTTTAAAGAAGGATGTAAGCAAATTGGACAGTCTAGAAGAGAGCGACAGAATTATGAAAGGTCTGAAAAATACGACCTATCAGAAAGAGAAGACAAATGTGGGACATGACAGCGTGTTCCTGATATTCAGAAGGTAAAGAGAAGGGATCAAATGTTTCTCACATCTGCAAGGAACAGGATAAAAGAAATAACTTCATTCACAGTTAAGGAGATGCATTGTAATTAGAAAGAAACACTTTATATGGACAGTGAACTACTCCAAACTGCTACTGAGAGCGACTGGAATCTGTGCCAGTGAAGGAATTTAAAGACAGTTTAGATGCACACTGGTCATGTTTCAGTGTAAGGGAGAGCTATCACAGCCTTACCTACCCTTTTCATTTCAAAAAGCACACACTAGGGATTTTGTCTTTCTTACATTCTCATTAAAAAAATAATGGAATTCAAATGTTCCTTTAAGGAGAACTCAGCCCTACAGATTTGTACAGTCATACCTGAAAGCAGTAAAGGACTAATTGTTCTAAAAGAGTAAAGCAGCATCAGTGACAGAATAAAGCACCACAAACATCTGGAGAACGAGGCCTCCTTCTAAATTCTGTCATGTCCTTTTTTCCTGGCAGTCCCGGCTATCAAGGCTGCATCTGACTCCGAAATGCCCTTTAGCACAAACTGCCTGCCGGGCGCAGCCGAACAGGGAGCCACGTGGAGAATGTGGAGGACGTTTCCCCACCTGAGCTCTTCAAAATCTCCATCTCAAGCAACTTCTGCCACGGCTGAAACTCAGTAGGCAAAAACTTTTAAGCTGTTCCTAAGCTGCGGTCATCACATAAGCACTGTTCACACTCTGGCCCCTCTTGCCCACTGCTCTTACAGAATGTTCCCACACTGTCGCTACCTGAAGATGCCTTTTTTGCGTGTTGCACTAACCTGCTTGGGAAGCAGACTGCATGGCAGCGGGCAGCGCACTTGGTACCAGGCCTCCTGATGGTAAAATGCCACTCAGATTTATACCTGCAGGGGCTATGGCACCAGTGTTGCACCCCAGCATGGGGTTTGAACCACTCATCAATGTCTGTGCTCCACTGTAGAAGAGGAAAGACAACATATCAAACCCAAGAGGTACAAGTACAGCCAAATAACTACATTTTATCCCTCTGTCACATGACAAGTAAACTCGGTCGTTTGCTCTAAATGGAATTATGGATAAAGCTTCAAAATATGTAGCTTCATTCTTCCACATATCCTTTTTTTTTGCTTTGGTATAATCTATGGAAAATAAAACATAAGTGGCTCTTGCATTCTAAAAATACTAGAAAGTTTGGAGATCTTCAAAACCATTCATGGTTTGGAGACCATTCAAAACCATTTGAAGACCATTCAAGTTTGAATGGCCTTCAAAACCATTGCGATATTGCAACAGAAAGCTGAAAAACAATTCATATTCTCCTTTTGCAGCATGAGAAGCCGGCTTCATGAAGCAACAGTGACCGAATGTTGAGCATCTTAAAGGAGTAATTCAAGCACAACACGTGCACTGAGGCACACCATGGGACTTGCACTGGCCATCTTGCACTTAATGGGAAATCCCATTTAATTGCAAAGCAGTCTTTGTGTCACATGGTCTAGTCCTAACAGCAGCTCTTCTTTTTTAACAGCAAAATGAGTTTTATGAATTGTTAAGTTTAAMCGCAATGTCTAAGTAACTGTTAGAATCAGTTATACCTGTTATAAATATTTTTACATGGTATTTTGATTCACAAAGGCTTTAATATTTCTATTTTTTATTTAAAAATGTCTGCATATGAGATCTYATATAATAAAAAAATCACACTCATGAAAGAGCAAAACCTCAAAAATACTGCAGTTTTGAGGTAAACCTTATGAAAGGAAACAGTCTTCACCTTAAAAACTCAGTACAAGTTTCCTTAYAGACTGTATTCAGCATTTTGATAGTAGGTGCCTACATTTAAGCAAGTAGTTTCTGATCGTTCTTTACTACACAACTGCAAGGTGAATGACCTTTCCATATTGCAGATCCTTAAAAATATCTACCTTAATGTACGCTGCACAATTCACTCCTCCAACTGCCCCCAGCTCCCCACCCCATCCAAGATTAATTAAGAAACCGCCGTAACGAAGCACTTACCACACAGAGCCCACTACATTGATGAAGTTAAGTCCTGCGGGGTTTGCCATGACCTGCGTGGAGGTTGTTCCTGTAGTAATGGATGTTACCATGGTGGAAAGAGGAATGGTCATTACAGGCAGTGCCTGGCTCAGAGACATCTGCTGCTGAGCAAACGGGGTTAACAAAGTGGGCTGAGGGGTGAAGCCTGAATCTTGGGGAGTAGGGGTGGCAGAAGGGGTAAGAGGAGTTGAGCTCTGAGCATCAGGAGGGTGTGGGGTCGATGAAGGGGTGTTGGTTGGAGTAGGAGTAGATGGTTTAGGAGTTCCAGACCCTGCTCATTGAGAAAAATAAAAAGTGCTAGTTTGTTATAAAAGGCCAGTCCTTCTTGTATAATACGGTTAATGGAATCTTATTTAGCACTGACAATTTGTTCCAGTTTTTAAACTGCAAGTGTTAATTCCTACACGACACGAGTGTAGCAGCACGCACTCATTGTTACGGATGCAGTATATCACACAGCAACCCCCTGCTCCATGCCTAACTCCTTGAACCAAACACAAATTTGTATCATCCTTCCAAAATTTCTGGCACATTAAGTCCTAACTCTATCCAGACATATTTAAGTCAAAATACAACAATTTTTCTTAAGTGACCATTTTAACCTAGTTAATGTTTTTGTTCTAAAATGTTACACATATACTGAATATGCACTGCCTGCACAATAGCATCATGTTAAAAAACATATCATGGAAAACAACAGAATCAACAAGGAACAAGATACCATTTCAGTAATTCTGGGGTCAATCTAAATTTCATCAGACAGCTAAATTTCCATTTGCCAATTTTTGATCTAACGAAGAAAATATATATATAAAAAGGATAATACTGCATCTTTAAAAGTTATTGTGTAATTCCTTATGCTTAAATGTAGTACATATAGCAATACTGTTGTGGATGCAGTAAGCACAGTTTATCAATAGAAAGAAAAAATAAAAAAAACACAAAAGCTCTTGAGGTGTTTTCTTTTTTTAGCTTTCATGTCCTGCAGAAAGAAAGGAAAGAAATGTGAATGTCCAGATGTTGTGACCAGAGCCTTACTTACAGTAACAACTGTGTGCAGTAGATTTACACAATCCTTATCAGTAACATAAAAAAGTGAGTAAAACTGTTTAGAAGAAAACTTTAAGTTTTCTGGTTTTCTTTGTGCAAAACAAGAAGGCAGAAAAATTACACCTTTTGAGCTATACATATTTCAAATTATTTAATYGAAAAAATAAAACCACATTATTATACTGTGCAGGATCCTGGAATGGTCAGTATACAATTATCCACAAAAAAAAATGAAAAACTGCAGCTATGATTTCTCTTTGTACAAATCTGCTCACAAAATGTCTCAAGACACATACATATTTTAAAAACTGTTTATGACTTGTATCTCTTATTACAATAACCCTATAAGTGGTAACAAAAAAAAATAAACTAGCACGTCATTTGCTATTGAAATTTACATTTTAACACCTAAGAATATGGTGTTATCAGCAGTAGAATCACCACCACACTTGCAATCAGCAATGATTTGTAAAACAGTGTAGGAGTGTTTTAAAAAATCATCTTAGAGTTTATTGTATCACCACCTTGCGACTGATCAGATTATATACATACACAGAGATACAACTGCACCAGCTCCTATAACATTTTTTTTTTTTTTAACAGATGCTTAAATTATGTAGAGGCAAACTGATCTAACACACTGTTTTTACACTGGAGGAAAAATCTACACTTTGGAATCGTATGTTGTAACATTATCTACCACCCTTTCATAAAAGAGGAGATCATAGTAATTGCATAAAATATATTAAAACGTATACACAAAGGGTGCATACATATATACAGAAAAAAACAAACACAATTACAATAAACATAAAATACATACAGTGAACAAGAGACCTGCCTGAAGCTGCACAACTTATACAATTTAGGGTACACAGTACATTTAAATGCCATCATTCCACRGGTTAAGGAGTTTCTCTCAAGAAGCATTTATGCAAAAGCTTAAGATTTAATGGAGAATTTAGGTCGTGACTCACTTTGTGAAGAGCTCGCGGGAGACATGGCAGCTGGAGAGAGCATGCTAACTTGGTTAAGATCCATAGATTGCTTCCGAGAAAGCCCGGGAGGCTTAGAAGGAGGAGGAGGAGTTGGGGATTTTAGATGGCCACTTGACTGCTGTGGACTAAAAATACTACCTGAAAAAGCATAATTAAAATACATTATGGTTTCGTGAGTTGATGGTAACCTGTTRCTACACAAATTCCTGAAAAATGTAATTGGAAATGAACAAAACGATGCTTTGGAAAGCTCTTTTCACACATCAGATAATGATTTTTTTAAGATTAAGATTTTACTAAAGTAATAATATGTCACTTTACAAGAGTCAGAACACATGGACAAGAGACACTGAAGTCAGTAAATAATTACCTGAAGAGCTACTTCCTGAACTTGAAGGTAATTTGATAGGAGGAGGTCGGTGTTTTACACCTTTCCCCAATACTGAAGACTGAACAGAGCCTGATAAACTTTCTGGCTGCTAGGAGGAAAGAGAAATTAGCACTACCTTAGCATTGACGTGAGCTTCCATATATTCGACAGGAAAGTAAAACAATCCAAATAATCTGTAAAAAAAATTCTCAAAATTGTGACAGAATACTTTGGAAATATTACTGCAGATTTTTTTAAACCACAGCCCTATGACTGACACTTCCCTATGAATAAAAAAACATCAAGTGCTGCTAAAATTTAAATACAGCTGAGAAAAAACCCTCGGTTTTCTTTTTCTTTTTTTTCCTAAAGTTTTTTTGGTACCTATTCACAAATGGCAGAGCGCCAGAAAAGCATTCACAGAAGGGCTGAGGTTGGAAGGGAGCTCTGCAGATCATCTGTCCAAACCCCCTGCTGAAGCAGGGTCTCCTACAGCCACATTGCCCAGGACCTTAATCAGGCACCTTCCAAGTATTTCCAAGGAAGGAGACCCAACAAATGCTCTGGGCAGCCTGTTCACAAGGTCTGTTACCCCCACAGTAAAAGAGTTGTTTTTCCCCTTACATTCAGAAGGAACTCCCTGTGTTTCAGTTTGTGCCCATTGCCTCTCATCCTCCACTGGGAAGAGTCTGGTCCCATCTGCTTTAAACTCTCCTTTCAGATACTTCCACAAACTGTAAAGATCTCCCCTGTGCTTCTTCTCCAAGCTGTACAGTTCTAGCTCTCTCAGCCCCTCCTTGTGTCCAGTGCTTTAATCGTCTCTGTGCACCTCAACTGGACTCGCTCCTGTGGCTCCATGTCTCTCCTGCATTAGGATCCAGAGCTTCACACTGCACTTGAGCTAAGGCCTCACTAGGGCTCAGGAGAGCAGGATGACCTTCTTTGAGCTGTTGGCAATGTTCTTCCTCATGCAGATCAGTGCATCATTAGCCTCCTTTGCCACAAGGGCACATTGCTGGCTCACAGTCAACATCTTGTCCACCAAGACTACCCGGTTTTCCCTGCAGAGCTACTTTCCATTAGGCCAATCCCCAATATGATCTTGAAAAATACTTCATTTCACTCTGTATTCATTTGCCATTGCCATCAGTAATGACTTGGAGAAAAGGATTAGGTCTTGACATTCTGAGAGCAGGACTTGCACGGAATCATCGAATGGTTGAGGTTGCCTCCTGGTTCAAAATCCTCCAGGAGGATTTTGAAGATCTCCAGAGAAGGAGACTCCACAACATCCCTGGGCTGCCTGTTCCATGGCTCTGTCACCCTCACAGGGAAGAAGTTCTTCCTCACACGGAGATGGAACTTCCTGTGTTGCAACTTGTACCCATTACTCCTTGTCCTGTCACTGGCTAGAAGGGTTTGGCCCCATCCTCTTTACATTCTCCCCTCAGGTATTTGCAGATACTGATAAAATCCTCTCTCAATCTTCTCCGGGCTAAACACGCCCAGCTTACTTAGTCTCTCCTCGTACGAGAGATGCCCCAGTCCCTTAATCCTCTTTGTCACCCTCCACTGGACTCTCTCCAGAAGCTCCAGATCCCTCTTGTCCCAGGGAGCCCAGAACTGCCCCCAATACTCCAGGTGCGGCCTCACCAGAGCTGAGCAGAGGGGCAGGATCCCCTCCCTTGACCTGCTGGCAACACTCCTCCTGATGCAGCCAGGATCCCATTGGCCTTCTTGGCCACGAGGGCACACTGCTCACTCATGGTTAACTTGGTGTCAACCAGGACTCCCAGGTCCCTCTCCGTGGAGCTGCTCTCCAGCAGGTCAAACCCTTATCTGTCCTGGTGCCTGGGGTTATTCCTCCCCAGGTGCAGGACCCTGCACTTGTCCTTGTGGAACCTCATGAGGTTCCTCTCTTGCCCAACTCTCCAGCCTGTCCAGGTCCCTCTGGATGGCAGCACAGCCCTCCGGAGTGTCGGCCACTCCACCCAGCTTGGTGTCATCTGCAAACTTGCTCAGGGTGCACTCCGTGCCCTCATCCAGGTCACTGATGAACAGGTTGAACAGCACCGGGCCCAGCACTGACCCCTGGGGGACACCACTGGCCACAGGCCTCCAACTGGACTTGGTCCCATTTATCACCATCCTCTGAGCTCTGCCATCCAGCCAGTTCTCAATCCACCTCAGTGCTCACTCACCGAACCCACGTTTCCTGAGCTCCCCTTTGAGGATGTTATGGGATATGGTGTTGAAAGCCTTGCTGAAGTCAAGGTAGACAACAATCATGTCTCTCCCCTTGTCCAGCCAGCCAATCATCCCCTCATAGAAGGCCAAATTGGTCAGATTGGTCAAACATGACATTCCCTTGGTGAATCCATACTGACTACTCACCTAAGCACCTTCTTTAGACTTTAAGTACCGCACGGAAACCATGACTGTGTAGAAATCAACAGGCCTTTTCCCAATGACTTTAGTGGGAAAATACACACTTCAATTCCACTTAACGAGACTTCCTGGATAGTTTAGTCTTCACTGATTCTGAGTAATTAAAATTGTTACCCTTCATTTAAATAATTCTAACTATTTTCTTACAAAAAGGGAATTTTTTGAAGAAACTGCTAGGATTGCCTTTCCCTCATATAATATAAAAAAACCCTTCTCTAACTCTGAAATTAAAAGACTAATGGACCATTCAAATTGAGACTAGAAATAGGCCTTGCTTTCAGTGGGGGTTTGGACAGCAGGAGACTTCCAGAAATACTCTTCCAAACCAAAATTGTCTGATTTAGTACACATAAATATATGCACACACATGCATACCTACATATGGACATACACATACCCCACCTATGTGTGTACAGATATATTTATACATACATACGACTTCCTCTGCAATTGCTGGCCTTTAACTACTTTTTTGACTAACTCAAAGAACTCTTGAAAGTGGTTAAAGAAAGGTTATTCTAGGTTAAAAGAGGGCATCTAAGAGACAGATGCAGCAAAGGGAGGAGTCCCCATTCATTTAAATTCACTTTCCAGTTGGTAAATACAGCTTACCACAGAGAGTACTGAATCTGACTAAGAAAACCAACACAGATCAATAAATACAGGGCAACGTCCTGTCAGGCATGGGAATCTGGGAAAGCAGTAATCTCTACTGCATGTGTACATACAAGCACACATGTCTTCAAGATTCTTGTTTTAAAGTTCGTCTCTTCAAATTCTGGTAAAAATACTTTTTTTTTTGTCATGGTAAGGGCGGGTAAAAGAAAATATTCAGCTGCTGCATCTGACTGTTTACTGCCCGGTGCTGGAAAGTGCACAGCTGTATTCCCCTAAGCTGTCTGTGAAAGACATCTGAAAATAGGTCTACAACAGAACCTGTGATCGACAGAAACAAAAGTATTTTCCTGCAACTTCTTTGCACACACTTACCCTGAATGATTGATTACAACAATACTATGTTTAAAAATTCTTTCTGAAGAAATATTTAGCTAATATCTAGCTTTTTTTTTTAGCAAAGATCCTTCTAATGTTTTTAAAATCAAGTGCAAATATAAGAAATGCAGGGCTCAATAAACTCACTTCCATTTCCTTCCCTGGAGAAAGATGACTAAGATTGACGGATCCACCTGAATTATGAATCATTTTCACAGGACATTTAGCTTCATTCTGTACTAACTCTTGGTACTGGTTCACCACTCTGAAACAAACATTAGGACATAAGAAGATGTAAGATTAACAAATGTGAACTTCTAATAAAACTCTTCTATTAAAGTTCCCTTTTTTTCTAGCTTAGATTTGTTCCATTTACATTTTTTTTTTCTCTAATGTGCTTTTTACTGATGTTTATAGATAAAGTAATTCCCTGCAGTGAAGCTGAATCAGACAGCAAACAGCTTTATCTAAGGTCAAGAAACACTCTTTTGGAGGACTAGTCTACGGAAGACAGAACAGCTCCCTTTCCAGAAGCAATTGTAATTCTTGGAGATATAGTTAGTGGGGAATCCCTTTCTTCACATGAATCCAGAATCTTTTACAAGGCTATGTTCACTGGGCTTACCTAAGCCCTGTGCTTATTTATGTTCCACATAGAACGGTCAACCCTCCTCCAATTTGAAGAYGATGTTAGATGAGGACTCCAAAAGCAGGGGACGACTGAGGAGTCCCTATAGAATGTATCTCAAAGAATCACAAGGAAAGTGACCAGTCTTCCTTCCTTGAGTATCAGCACAGCCAAACCTCCTTCTAGGAGCCTAATTAGCAACGATGCACCCAAGAATACGAAGTGCTAAGGGCACTGGACAAACAAGTCTGAAATACTGTGCCACAAAAGCAAATACTACATCTCACAACTAAGTTGAGAAAATTAAGCTGAGGGAATATTGTTTCACAAAAGTGAGTGGAGTGCACTACAAAGTAAAAAGGTAAGATGAGATATTTGTATTAGATTACACAAGTATAACAAACGAAATGTTAATTTGGTATAGCACTGATGCAATATGCTGTTACGCATAAGGAACCTACTCAAGATATGTGGCACAATAAGGAGGGCAGTGTCATAGAATCATAATGGTTGGGAAAGACCTTCAACATCATTGTGTCCTTTCTTAAGCAGCTAGGATTTACACTAGTTTGAAATGACAGAGGAACCTGAGCAAGAAAATACTGCACACTCCAAAGGGTGGTCCTTTGATTTCCTTTTCATGCTTTCTTCTGTCTCAGTCCTTGAAAACCAAATGTTTATTCTCATAGGAGGATTYGCACAACAGAGGGGCCAAAGTGAACAGGAACTCAACCCCAGTTAAAATTATACCCCTGCACTGCTGGTGTTACTGTCTGGGTTTTGGCCAACCAGTCCCACAGTGCAGCTTGCAGCAAAGCACAAAGAAGTTTGCATCACCACAAAGAAGGCAGCAGAAAATATAAGCAAATAGTTTCTTCATCCAATTTACTGGATGCAAAACATTGCATTTTAACCAAATCACGGATTCATCTTTCTGTCAGGCATGTAAGAACTGGATGGGAAAGGGTTATGGTATGTATACCACCTCAAGATCTCCTATGAGGGCAAAAATCACWAACAGCTTTGAGAGATGCTGCTTTTTAAAGACTGCATGCTTATATGCACAAAGCACACAGGTAAAAAATGGAATCTGTACTGAAAAATATTTCAATAAATATTTATTTTGCTGCCTCAGTTATCTGTGACCAGAACTGATATTTCATTTTTAAAAATTTTTTAGTTATTTTTTTACAAATTAAATATGCTGGAAAACTTCTTTGTAACTTCAAAAATAAAACATTGCTTTATAATGCTGAATCAAACAATGATTGCCAATTTATTATGCAAGTTCTTAAGGAGAAGCATGTTTTTAATGCTCTCAGGTTTTTACCATTACCTTTGTAATTAACAGTAGCTCTATAAATCCCTTCATAGCAATATTCTTGGAATTTAGGAAACTTCCCTTCCTCTATTATTTCTACAAATTACAGTTCTACAAATTTCTACAAATGTGTTAAATGTACACATTGTATACTACAAACTTTTTCTTGTTACAACTATTAATTTCTCTTGCTTTTCCTGTCTATTCTGCATCTGGTTTCATACCCATAACATGAGGAGTCATAAAGGCTAAAAGGATGCAACTCTTTTTCTAGCACCAAGCCAACTACACAGACATACTATATAAATTACCTTTCAGCATCAGTCTTGGAACCAATAAGGAATCTGAAATAGAAAATGTATAATACATTTTTAGTCATGAATTGGACTAAACAAGTATGTTTCTCTAGGTTTCACAAGGCTTAGAAAGAATGGAATGCTGCTCTCATTTGGGAACATAAGATCATATTAATTTGACAGACTGGATATTATTTAGTGCCTGAATTATAAACCTAGCTTCATAATTATGTATACAATATGCTATACTAAGTTACATTGACGAATGATATAGAGTAATAGAGATCCTTTAAGAGTAAATTCTCTACAAAACAATGGCATTATGAGAATTTCGTATTTTGTGTTTCCCAGAAACAGGARGTAAGTATTTGCTACAGAACCTCTACTGTGATAAGCAGTATAACGAATATGTATATAAACCACTGTATCAATCTTCTGACATAGAAGAAATCTAAGTGTTTCGTGGTTAGGTTAAGAACAGGTTTAGTTGTAAGGTTTTAACTAAACTTTCAGTTTTCATTACTTGATTTGACCTGATTTGACGAAATTCCTCACCATTTTCTATGTCACCCAATTAAGTGTTTTTCTATTCTATTACTTCAGATTTGATATGAGAACTTGTTAGAACTTTTCTTTAACTACAGATTTTTCTCTGTTTCAATAAAAAACTGTTTTATTTTACAGCAAAATGATGAAGTGTCTTATTTCCAATGCTAGGTTTTTCAAATGAGTATGAATACAAGTTCTCAGAAGCATCAACTGGTAGCATCTTAAAAATTACACACTAGAACTGTGATTTTCAAGAAAAACTGAGCTCCTTTACAAGCCTTTCAATTCTCATCCTTATTGCATGTGTGTAAGCCAGCATGGCTGTTCTGGATTGGAAAAGAAACAGCAAATAGGTTGAGAAACCCAATGATAAAAACACCTCAAATATGAAAATATTAAGATTTTAATTAAAATCAATAGATAAGAATTATATAGTAGGCACCAATAAAAACAAGAACTGGTTAACAGAACTGAGGTTTGTTCAAACTAAAGGCTTTCTGCCTTGCTGAATAGKATAGGGTCTGCTCTGCTGCACAGATTCATCCACAGAAAGAACCTGTCATGTACAGAGCTAAGAACACAGCTAAGAATACAGAATCTTTGTAGAACTGCAGCTTGTAGAACTGCAGCCAGTAACAGAAGTTTCAAAACATAACCCCAAACACAAACTAAATTTCTTTAAAGTACATGTTTTCCTTCATCATTTATTTATTTTGGGTAGGGTTCTCAGCATTGCCTTAAGGCAAAAGCTTTCACAGTGATTTGCTATAAGAGAACATTTAATTATAATGGTTGCTTGAAAAATGTATCCTTTTTAGGTAGAAAATTTGCAGGAGATTTTACAATTTTTCAGATAAAAGTCTTAGATCAGAATTATAGTCCCTAAGTAAAATACAGTGAATTTATTTTCATTACCAAAAAAGACTATGTATTATTTGTCTTCTCTCATCTATCAAATCATAGCACAATTTAAAAGAATATGTAACTTACTGTGATGGAGTTAATAGGTTATCACTTTCATCATCACCTTTGAGTGTCTGAATTTTACCATAGTACAATGGATTGCCAAGAGACTGAAAAATAGTCAGTTTTGTTTTCTGCAGTTGGTTACCAACTTCACATTCAAACACATAATCATCTTTTACTTCCTAAAAGACAAAAAAATAAAATTATCAAATTAATCTCAATAAACCAGTAAGATAAAGAGTTAGTAAAATACGACACATTTGTAGAAAACAAGTGAGCCAAGTAATACACTGTAGAAAGGTRTTCAATATGCAAAGTGAAATAGATCTGAGAAGAACTTCTCTAAAAGGGTGAGTGAAAAAAAAAGATACCATCTCTTAAAACTACCGAAAAATTAATAAAATCTGCCCTATTCATATCTGATATGGAACTGTTGACAGAATAAACATATGCAGAAATACCTGTATACAAAAAATGTCAAGAATGAAAAATCCCAGAGATGGGAAAGTACTACCTTTTGTTAATACGAAAGTACAACGACATCATGGTAGATACTGATAATGATGTAGTATCTGGCCTCAAAAGCCACAAAGAACCAATTATTTACTTATTACAATTACTAGATGACTTMTCCTTGTCAAGTTTTGTAATTTGTGCTTAATCTTAAGGTCTGGTTTAAATACTGCAGAAAGAGCTTTCCATTAAGAGGCGTTTATAACGTCTTTCCAAATTTCTGGAAAATTGGAGGAAATTACAATAACTTGTAATTAACAGTTACCACTGATCATGCTCTAATTATGAAACTGAGATTAATATTTATGAATTAACTTGAGAGATCTTTACTTTCCAATGAATAATAACAGCAAATTACTCCTTTTACTAATCATGTGCTTGAGGCCTTCTATTGAATTCCAAGTCTCCGTAACAATTTCCTTCTGATATTTATATAACACGTGGAAGATTTAACTGGAGAAGGGAAGGGAATCTATTCCTAGATTATTCAGATTTTGCTGAAATAAGAGGCATTTTAACTACAGACAGAAAATATTGGCCAAAAATTTAAACTACTCACATGTGCTGGCCAGACAGTTGGCTGTGAATCATCAGGCTTGATGGACTTTTCCACTTTGGCATATTTTTCCACCTTAAACAAAAACGAAGATATTAGAAAAGAAATGCAAGAACAGATTTAGAGTTAATACAGCACTTTAGAAGTGGTTAACATCAGATTCTTAGAAAGCGAGTGCAAGAAACATTATGCTAAAGTTGCAACTTTTGCAGTGTGATTTAGCTTGTATTTATACCTTACAGGGCACCAAAAATGGCTTCAAAATTTAAAAGTCATTCCTATTTTTTAAAAACAGCATGATTTGATATTGGACAGTCGTAAGTCATTTCCTACTGCACACAGTAAAACAATAATTGATCTTGGTAACATCTGAACTTACATCCACTTCAGAAGGYGCAGTCAAGTAGCAAGGGTTCTGTTTCCACATATCTACACACTGAAAAATGATCAAGAACAAAGCAGTATSAACATTAAATAGTTGAAATAAACAGTTAAAAGTTCACCAGTGAACCCAGTGTCTAAAGGCACTTACATTTCCAGCTTTAGAAATTTTGAGGTCATACTGCTGGCCTCCTTTCCTCTCCTTTCTTTTCTGCAAGTAATCAAGTAGTCTGAGCTGAGGTGGTGTAGAGTAATGAGCCACTTCCTGCTGCCTGTTTAGGGATGACCTGGAGTATCTTTTGAAGCACCTATAGTAAAAGGATACATGAGCATGAAAAAAAAAAAACCCACGAAAATCTAATATCCCATTGCCTCTGTACAAACACAAAAATATGCTGAAAAGTGCTATTTACATTGAGGCTAGTTCTGAAACAGAAAAAGTTCTGATTTTCTTGACTATACTGTATAATTCAAACTCTTGACATAAGATTTTAAAAAAGCATTAGCATTCTGTTCATGTACTTCAGCTCTAAGAATCTGTGATGTATTTTTGAAATATATAACACAAGTACATTGCAGGTGTTAATTTTAACAATGCTACCAAGATTGTAAGGTTGTAAAAAACTCATCTGAGGCTTTAGTTCTGCCAAAAGACTCATGTATCGATGTACTGAAGAATTATAGTCACTGTGTGGTTCTGTACTATCCTGCATTCTTTGGTGCAGGTTACACAGAATGCTTTGGTACATTAATACTAACTATTTAATGCCACTTAAGACTTTTGCATATTTTTCAGACAGATTTATCAGTTATCCTTAAAATTAAAAACGTTGAGGAGCATATCTCAGCGCATATCTACTTGTAAATATATTTTTGTAATTCTAATAGATTATTTGTAATTTGTCATTCTATAGAATGAATGCACCTCTTTTAATAAGACTGCCAACCATTTCAAGCTTTCGTGGAAAAAAAAGTGAACAACCAAGAACAAAAGTGACATTTTATACATAACACATTGCACATTGTTTAGAAAGTTATTGTGGTCCTAACTACACTCTGTGTAGTCTTAAGTTTAAGCCTATAAATAATCTTCTTCATTTGCTCATTTACGATTAAACTTGCATATGGCTTTTAAAGGATCATGGACCAATAAGCAATATATCAGTTTATGTACTTCACATTACTGAGCTGATACCTGCTTCAGCTTACATTCGAATTAAGCAAGAATCTAGACAAGATCATAACTTCAATGTAAACCATTATGCCAAAAAAATAGTGTGTACAGTACGTAGTAATGTGTACAGAAATGTGCATAATACTCGATATATACTAAATGAAAAACAGCAAAAAATACAGCTCTTTAAAAGCCACAGTACCTTGACTGCTCTATTTATTTAATTAGGTTTGAATTTGAACACTGCACGAAGAACGCCAAAGTTCTGATGCACAGKACTGTCTGTACTGTCTGTATTTTTTGATGAAGCTCCCCATAAAATCTGAAACAAGTCCTAACACGCTACAAATTGAAACCTACCGTTTCATGGGGCGAGTATTCATCTTCTGCTTGTTGTACAGCAGCCTGTTGGTGGTGCAGGTCACTGCTATTGAAGGATCAAGACACAAAGGCTCTGCTGTGGCCAAAATAAGCTGACTCTCAAGTAGRAGTTTGTCCTCCTGCAATATGTACAGCTATTAATAAACACATAAATCTGAAAACTTCTGTACCTGCACACACACTATCTTACAGAAAAATGAAGATTGCTGTGGACAGCTGACAACAAAAAAATGCGATAAGCAGTTATTAAGTACCACTATCCACTAAGGAGAGTTACAGAGCTTTAGATGAGGTTTCTAATCAGTTCTAGGAGATCCTAATGAAGAGTGAATTTTATAGAGTAGTAGTGGCAATGAAATCAATTGCCTGACTGTGATTCTTCTTGATGGATTTGCATTCAACTCCATAAAGACAAAATCTATATGGGACTTCTGGTTACAATTTCAAAATAAATTGAACATGATTGTGCCTCTGCAATACAAACAAGCACTTTGAGAGCACCGTGTTCTTCAGCATTTAACTAAACAACACAATCCTAATCATTTACAATACTTTGAAATAACATGATTAGGTAAGTACTGCAACAGAGGCAATAACATCATTAGATTCCTAGGATTAGATTCCTAAAACTTGCTTATGCATCTTTAATAAAATAATGAAGTAAATTTACTATATTACTGTAAAGTTTAGAAGTAACTGGTGACTGACCTGTGTCCATTTGTGGTTGTCACTCGTTATAGAATGCACATCACAAATTAAAGTCTAAAGAAAAAGACAAAATGGTTAATTACCTTTCAACAAACCATTATTTTAAGTAGTAGTTTATATCTAATCTGAGAATTACTGCAACAGTGAAGAATGATCTGAGGTACTTCTTACCTGCATTGTAGGACGCAAAAGAATGTGCTTGCTTTGGTACGTTGGAGATTTCATATTCCCACACTGCCTATAATCACGTATTTCTGCTATGACACACCCACAATGAAAAATGTTAACCTAGTTGAAACAAACAGACAAAAAAACCCGAAAGTGTGAATACCCAAATATCTCATCTCCCCTCTCCAGGGGAGAGTTTGCTATACATGTATTCTAAATACAACTGATAGAATTGATGCCTAGGATCATTTTGTCCTTTGTTACTATTGTAAAAAATATTAAGTGCAATTGTAAATGATAATGAATTCGTGTTTTGCTCTGTAAATAAGGCTAATAAACAGAATATATCTAAGAAAAAAATCAGCCTCAGTGCTAGTTTGTGCAGTTTCTGTAAAGTTAGTGCAAACTGTTAAGTTGCTTGTTTATTAAGGCACTGCATGAAACCTATGGTGCGTCATTGATGTTATGCTTAAAAATGCTTACTAGTTTTATCAAGATGAGAGGTCTTTACTAAATACTTAGATCTAACTTGCATCTCAAGCACTGTACTTTCATATGGCAGAAATGTAATTTAAAGAATCCATGTCACATATGTGATAGCAACAAGGAACTTCTTGCAAAAATGCAGAATCCTAGTGGTTTGTCAGCATAAATGTTAGCAATATGCCTATTTCTTTTCCTCTAATAMTTATGAATTATTTTTTATGGTTATCAAGAAAATATTATGGCTATAAAATAATATGGCCCCAAATGCATAAACTTTCTGCGCCATGTGTTTGGAAACATCCATAAAAACCGTTTGAAGATCAAAGTCTATCTGGATGGCTTCTTTCTAAAAAASTTTCACACCTGAGATTTTTCCAGAAGATCAACCAGAATAGGTGGTAGCTCCTCTGCATCCAAATATTCAAGCAGTTCTCCTTCCTCATAAGGCAGCCGAATGGTCTCAGAATCTGAATTTAAACAAGATATTGCTTTTGCTTTTCAGTTCACCCTTGAACAAGGTAAAATTTAAACCAACCTTGTCAAATAGGCATGGATTTGTACAGGTGATTATGTTAAAAGTAAAACAAACGCAAAACCACTAAATGCAAACAACTACAGAAACATGTTCCAATAGTTTACAGATGACTCTATATATATACAAAAAATAAACAGCAAAAAATGTTACCTGAACCATTCTTTCCCCTGAGCATCAGTGAATAACCCTCATTTCCTGGATAAAGATTCACTACCAGACACGATAACGTCTCCTGCATAACCAGCTTCTCAAGTAAATTCACATTTCGCCTCAGCTTCTGCTTTAAAAGTAAACATTGCTCATGAACATAATACTATCAAGTAACTCGTAGCAATAACAACATCATTAGCAATCATTAAAATTTGAACACTGTTTAGATTAATGTTAAAACATATAGCTAAACRGACTCAGATAAATTTAATCTGGCTTTATTCAACAAAGTATGCATATATGCWAATGAACACTGTTAGGCACACAGGACTTTTTTGGAAAATCAATGGTTTAAATTTTTTTAGAAAAGCATTAATTATAGGTCAATTGACAATACTATGATACAGCGTTGTAAAACTACTGTGTACTATTATTTGTGTCATTTATATGTGGATCATTTATACAATTACACATCGCTAAGAACAACAAGTATTTCATACCTTTGAATATTCTTAACAGAAGCAAATATTTCCTTCCAGTATTAAAACACAGAATTACAGCATTTGGAAGCTTTCTTAATTGCACTGCCTTATGTATATTTGTTGAAATCTGATCTACCAGCTGCAGAGCCTATTTCATGAATTATAAAGAAGATATTTGTTCATTTTAAAATCTGTTATTTATGAAAAAGATGTTTCCAACTCCTTGTGCAAGTCTGACAATTTTAAACATTTAAAAGGCCCTAGGCCCTCTTCACAAGAAAAATATTGTTCTTTACACTTCAGGTAACTTCTGGTTGAAGGCTTTATTACTGCACACCAGCCTGGGTGGATCTATTCGCTAGAGGGTGTCATGTAGGCACTAGTTTGGATCCCCAACAGTAGTTGCATCCCCACATTTTACTCATACTCATTAAGTTGCAGTGCACTCTCTGCCTATCTTTATTTCAAATAAAGACAGAAATACTAATAAGTCAGATGACAGAAACACCTATCCTAGGGAGGCTGCTCCTAAGAAAAAAAGGCCTCTCTCTCCAAA